GTTTTAAATTCGAATTTGTTATTGCGTATTGGTTCGATTATAGAACGATTGTAAACGTTTCAGAAAATTGATCAAATTGAAAATAGTTCGTTTGATTTTCGGCAATTCTCTTCAGCGGTAGGTGTTATATAACAATTACTATGGTTATTGAAATATTGGATGTAAATGGGGTTCGCTTGCAAAACCTCCGCTGACGAAGTCGCGGGTAACAGCTAGTTGTAAATATTCACATTTCACTAAGTCAATATATTTATAAAGGCTAAAATGTATTAACAGACTTAATACACTTTAGCCTTAGTTTATTAATGTGCAATGTACAATTAAATAAATAGGCAAAGAGAAGTCCTTTCTCATAAAAATTCTGATTCTTACCTCACAAAGTACTGCGTGTTTTCCAGGAATCCATAATTTCTCATTTTCATCCAGCCTGTTTACTTACATCGCCCATATTTTTTTTTCTAGCTTCACCACTAGGAAATCGATGCAGTTTGAATTTAGGAGCTGTATTCGAGCAATTAACGGCCGAACAACCCGGCATGATTTATTTTTATGCGGTAGCTTTAGATGTATCGGCAGATCTAAAGACTAAAATAATGATTTCTAACCTCAGTATAGCGAAGTAAGAACTAACTCGATGTTTACAATCTACTTTAGATCGAAATTACCTGGTATATAAAGTTTTCAATTATGTTATTTATCGTATTAAATAGCTGATCGACACTCGCTTGTCCTATACGGATCGGAAGCTGGCCTCATAATGGCGTCCATAAAACACGTGACCGGCAGTAGCCAATCATATTTTGACCCCGCCAGTTGACCATACTCTGGTTATAGAGGGTTCTATTAGTGTAAGAATTTTACACCGCAAATGTCACGTGTAGATCCCATTACTTTATACATTTGTTATTGTACGAGATATTTCAGTTTAGCGCCACACTCGATTATTTATCAATGTTATAGTAATTATTATTAATAATGATCTTCACTATTATTGTATGATGGAGGCCAGTTGTTTATCTCTTAATTAAGAATGGTATGAGAAAGAAAAGTTCAAAATTGTACAAATCTTATCCACATCTTTGCAGCGGAAGTAAAGTAAAAGTGATGCCAGCCACATATAATAACCTAGTCACGTTATTCTGTGAGAAAAGTGGAACAATGTTTACCTAAAATCTCTACTTTTTAAAAATTCTTTCCGTCCTGCGGGCATAAAGTGGGCCTTTTTAGCAAGCCCATTTACCGGGCCTACAATGGGATTTCCGGATGGTGGGGAACGGGACTCGACCTATTCAAAAAATTACTGAAATTTTTCGATACCGGATCCCCAGAGCGGCAGGCTATCACCATAACTGCTCGGCCATTCGATCGTAAGAAAAGTACAGTACACTTATACTCTGCGAAAATTTCCCGTACACCAAAATAATTGTTCCAAAACATTATGAATTACACAATGAGTGTAGCAGACTACACGCATTGTGTAATTCATAATATTAAAGAATATCCTTGATAAATTATATTGACAACTTATCAATCGCATATCTTGCATTCAACGGACATTCTAAATTAAAATAATCATTAACTGTAACGAATTAAGCCTTGAAAATGAATCCAAGTTGTGCCATGGTTACAGGAATGCAAGCGGGTAATGCTACTACGTATTGCATTTTATGAATTCCGTAGATAATACGAATTATTAGAAGAGTTCCGGACAAACAAACAGACATCAGAATCTTTTATAAACACTAAATTCATATAGAGAAATTATCAGTTTGTTAGTTATATCGTTTACAAGACATTATTAAATAACCTTAATTCCTAATTATTTAATGTGAAAGAACAGGTGATGATAAGTATTATCTTTATAAGCGCATGTTTTTTTATTATATAAAAAATAATTTTTAAAAATTTATATTTTAATAAGATATTTTTCAATGGTTAACGAGTAATAAAAATGCTTTTAGCACCAATTCATAAAAATCATTAATGTAAATTACAATTTCCATTATTAGAATTAGCGTTAGAAATATTGTTAATTGCCATATGTTAATGTAAATTCGTGTACTAACTTCATTCATTCACGAAAATCCTTAATTAAACACAACTTCCTTCTTCACATTTTAATTACGCAACTGTTCCATTAAATTTCAATATTTAGAATGTTTCTCCCGGCCAAATTTCGTTAATTTATTATTGTTTTATTAATACGAAATGCTAGCATGATTCATTAAAATCTATCAACAAGCTGAATTACAAAGAAAATTACTTATAAACAATTATGTAAAAATTACATTAAAAAATAATAATAAAGATACACATAAAAAAGTAACTTTTTTTCCAACAGATGTTTTCTTAAACATCCTTTCCACGTTTATCTAAAAAACGATAACAGAAATCATATCTTTAATAAGGTATTGTGTATAAAAGCCGACTCGACGATCCACTCTTTCACTTACTTCTCGAGTAGATCAAACATGAAGGTGTTGCTAATTCTGTGTACCGTCGCTCTCGCATACGCTTGTAATTACGATTTTTAGCATTTTCCTTCGTATATTTGTCTTCTCGCGTTCAATGTATAACGTTTTCCATTGCAGCCAAACCATCCTGTCGACTAGAACCCGAAACGGGTTTGTGTCGCGCCCGCTTTCCTCGTTTCTACTACGATCCCGAAGATGACACCTGCAAGAAATTCGTCTACGGAGGATGCGGAGGAAACGATAACAACTACGAAACCGAAGAGGAATGTTTAGCGGATTGCAGAGGTAAGAACCACGTTTATTCTTCGAGTGGTCCCGACCCAGTCACACTTTTGGTATTTTAAATTAAGAAACCGAATATTCTGTGGATTCCGTTGCTTATTGCCACCTGAAGCCGGAACGAGGAATGTGCTTGGCTTACATGCCGCGTTATTATTACAATGCCAAAACGCGTAAATGTGAGAAATTCATCTATGGAGGATGCGGTGGCAACGCCAATAACTTCGAGAGTCGAGAGGCATGCGAAGACAAATGCATCCAGCCAGGTAAATTCTATTGTTTCACATAAATGCACGAAAGTTCTTTTTCTTCTTAACCGTTATTTTTGATTACAGAAGTCGAGTTTGCTGAGGTTCCTGTTTGTGAACAGCCAGCAGAACCTGGTATGTGCCTCGCTTACATGCCTCGTTTCTACTACGATAAGACTGAAGGAAAATGCAAGAAGTTCATTTATGGAGGATGCGGAGGCAACGACAACAATTTCCGTACTCTAGAGGAATGCGAACAACAATGCGGAGGTAAAAATTCTCATTTTCTTATTCATAACTGAACTGAACCGATAGTTTTAACTCAAGATACTGACTTTCCTTACAGCCCAATACTACGAATCCACGTGCCAACAGAAACCCGAAACCGGGCCCTGCCGCGGATACTTCCCACGTTATTATTACGACGAAGAGAAAGGAGAATGCAAAAAATTCGTCTACGGTGGATGCAAAGGCAACGACAACAACTTCCAAACGGTAGAAGACTGCGAAACCACCTGCAGTAAGTGTCCTTTATCCGCTTCGTTTATTAAAATTCCATACTAAGGGCCGCCGTATTCCTACAGAAACCCAAGGGAGTCAACCCAGGAGAGTCTGTTTTCAGGAGAAAGTAGTTGGTCCTTGCAGAGCAGCTTTTCCTAGATTCTACTACAATCAGAAATCTGGTCGATGCGAATCTTTCATCTACGGTGGGTGCCAAGGAAACGAGAACAATTTCGAAACTTTAGACGAATGTCAAGACACCTGCGAAGGTATATTTTAAAAGTTTTTACAGCTTTCTGGGCATTCGCGCAATACCGATTAATATGTTTGTTTGCCATAGTGTCCTCGGCTGAAGTAGATTGCTCATCTGAACCCGTGACGGGTCCATGTCTCGCTTACTTCCGTCGTTATTACTACGACCAAAACACCCAAACTTGCAAAGAGTTCGTCTACGGTGGTTGCCAAGGGAATGGAAACAACTACAAAACCGAAAAGGAATGTCTCCAAACCTGTGCCTGTAAGTATATTTGCCTTACGAATCAACGAGACATTTAAATCGTGTGATAATAACGAGATTATCTTGTTTCAGAATTCTGAGAATCTTCTATCTAGTCAATACTGAAGACTACGCGAGAAATGATTAAAGAAAAGAATAAATTTTCATTTTAAATATTAATTTATTTGTCATTATTGTTTATTATCTACATTAAAGTTAGGCTGTTGAAATACTTCCATTTTCGAAAAAACATTAAAGAGAATTGTAGGAAAATTACTTTATTTTTGAATTTTCAAAAATAATCACGTGATATTTCTAACCAATCAACGATTGAAAACGGTTATTAACGCTTTTAAAATTTAAAAATATTTTCGGTTATTGATCAACCAATAGTAACATGAAAATCTTTGTAAATTTCACACCTATTTTCTGAAAACTACGTCATTATTTGAGTCTACGTGCTTGAAATAAGCAGCTTCGACCACAAAATATAACACAATAATGGGCGACAATAAATAAATACAATATCTCTAACATATAATAGAAAATATAGTTGTATATCAGTAGTGTAAACGGGTGTTACCACTCGTAAATGCGAAATTCTACCGCTTCTTTCTCATTTGCAATGACGTAAAACATGTTAAATCACTTACAAACATTTAAAATTGTAATTATAAAGATGATAATTCTTATTTTTATATAATATTTAAATAAAAAATGTAAAATTCGAAGAAAGTAAAACGATTGATAAATACACCGGGCTCTCGCTAATCCGGTCTCATTGCCAGATTAGACACAGTGCCGGATTATCGAGAATGCATAGACTTTAAAATAGCAAATAACGTGACTTCTCGCCCTTCGGTACAGAGTTTTTTTTCTTTTGGTGTCAGATAAGGAAGAGTGAGAAGTATTTACAAGGTCTGTCCCAAAAGTAAGTGTACAGATTTTTTATTTAATGAATGTGCAGCTTAACACATCATTAATTGGTATTTTCACGTTGCTAGATATCTTAGCAGCGTGTCTAGACCCGTTTCAAGTTGATCGGTTAAGTCATACGTTCACAATCTCTGTTTGTGTAAGATATAGTGTTTTAACATATCGTTACGTTTGAAACAGAAAAAAAGTCTCGAACAATGTTACGCTATCAAAGTTTTGTGTAAAACAAAAGAAATCTGCAACCAAAGACATTTACAGGTTTAACCGAAGCTTATGGAGATGCCACCTTATCGAGAAACACGGTGTTTAGATGGCACAAAGATCCAGGGTAAAGACGATGCTTATCGTTTTTTTTTTTTCGATAGCCGTGGAATTGTGCGCAAAGAATTTTTATCTTCAAGACAGACAGTTACTCAGGCTTTCTAAGAAGATGGCTTCGAAAAGGGTCAAGCAAATCCGCAGAGATATTGCGAAAGATTGGGTGCTGCACCACGATAATGCGCTATCAATTTGAGAGTTGTTGGCCAAGAAAAAATCCCCACACCTCCACAACCTCCCTACTAGCTCCGTGTGACTTCTACTTATTCCCTAAGATAAAATCCAAGTTGAATAGGGTCATCTTTTCGCGACAGTGAGAACCATCGAGAAAAGTTGCAACCGACGAACTAAACACTCTTACGGAAAACGACCGGTACTGCTACGACCAGTGGAAAAACTTTGGATCCACCGTGTGACCCCCAAGAATCGTACTATCAAAGAGATCGTTGTAGTTTGATGTAACTCTTGTGTATTTTGAAATAAAAAAATTAGTACACTTACTTTTAAGACCTCGTACAATTAAAACAAAATTAACAAATTGTTGGTTTTAATTGCACTTTTTTAATTCATAACTTTGATTATTAATTGGGTCCAGTATAAATATAAATGTTTCCTATGTATATCCTACATAAATACTCAATTTATGGTCTACATAACATCCAACAAAGATCGGAAAAAATATAGTACCTCGAGGCCCTATATCTCTTACATTGATTCTTATAAAATATTCCCCTTTAAATGAATTTATGCCACAAACAAGAGAATTTTGCATTTTAACAATTATCTTTATAGTCAAGTCGTCACAATTCTGGGCTTTTTCTGGGCCAATCATATTTTAATTTTAAAAACCACGTGATTTCCGGCCCAGATCGGAAGTTCTATAAGTTTTTCATATCTGGTTTGACCTCATCTAAATCCATCCTCGAGACTAAGGAAGGACGGACAGACAACAGTGGGAATATATAGGTCTATAATTTGAAAATTGTAGCCCAATTGTTATATTAATTCTTCCGTTATGAAATCCTAGAAATGTTCTAATTTTTGTTCCAATTGTTATATTATTTTTAGAGAATTTAACACTTTTTCCAACATTTATTAGGTTATCATCGAGATAACTCTGGAAGTATTACGGAATTTCGTATAAAATTTATAGATAATTTCTATAATATGTTTTGTAATATGTTGCAAAATGAAGATTATAATCCGTCTTATCATTAATTAAGAGAATAAATAAACAATCGACTCGGATACGGACAATTTTCCAATCGTTCTACGTTACGTAACGTCTTACCATTCAAGAAAAATGCTCCCGCATTTATTAGAAACGTAAAGTTTCCGGGTCAAAGGTTACGAAAAGTTTCTCTTTGATCTTTCCCACCAGTGGCAAAGTGTATAAAGACATTCAACAGTGGTAGTTGATGCCAACCCGCTACCAACTACCACATCGAAGAGTAGTTGTTCAAGGGATTAGCACCTATTACCAATGTTGAATGGTTATATATATATATATATATATACATATACATATACTTTCGTAGCCGCAATCTAGAATTGCGAATTGCCCGGCCAAGTTACATAAAACGGTGTGTATATAAAATATGCCATGAAAAGTAAACTTTGCATCTACCAGATGTTTGGTCAGACACAATTTACACGTTAATCTATAAAACGATAGCCGAAATTCGTATCTAAGAAGATTAATTCAATTCCTTCCTATAAAAGTGGATTCCGTATTCGTTATCTCACATTACTTCAAGTATCAAACATGAAGGTGTTGCTAATCCTGTGTACCGTCGCTCTTGCATACGCTTGTAATTACGACTTTTTGCATTTTCCTTCGTATATTTGTCTTCTCGCATTCAATGTATAACGTTTTCCATTGCAGCCAAACCATCCTGTCGACTAGAACCCGAAACGGGTTTGTGTCGCGCCTACTTTCCTCGTTTCTACTACGATCCCGAAGACGACACCTGCAAGAAATTCGTCTACGGAGGATGCGGAGGAAACGATAACAACTACGAAACCGAAGAGGAATGTTTAGCGGATTGCAGAGGTAAGAACCACGTTTATTCTTCGAGTGGTCCCGACCCAGTCACACTTTTGGTGTTTTAAATTAAGAAACAGAATATTCTGTGGATTCCGTTGCTTATTGCCACCTGAAGCCGGAACGAGGAATGTGCTTGGCTTACATGCCACGTTATTATTACAATGCCAAAACGCGTAAATGTGAGAAATTCATCTATGGTGGATGCGGTGGCAACGCTAACAACTTCGAGAGTCGAGAGGCATGCGAAGACAAATGCGTCCAACCAGGTAAATTCGAAATTTAAGACTCAATCATCGAAAGATTCTTTCACTTCTTGAATATTCTTTACTTATAGAAGTCGAGTTTGCTGATGTTCCCGTTTGCGAGCAACCAGTCGAACCTGGTAAATGCCTGGCTTTCATGCCTCGTTTCTACTACGATAAGACTGAAGGAAGATGCAGGAAATTCATTTATGGTGGATGCGGAGGAAACGATAACAACTTCCTCTTTTTTGAGGAATGCGAGAAACAATGCGGAGGTAAAACTGCTTAACTGTTGTTGTTATTAACAGAAACCAGTAGTTTTCATATCGCCTGCAGTAAGAGTCCTTTATCCGCATCGTTTATTACAATTCCATACTAAAGACCGCTGTGTTCCTACAGAAACCCAAGGGAGTCAACCCAGGAGAGTCTGTTTTCAGGAGAAAGTAGTTGGTCCTTGCAGAGCAGCTTTTCCTAGATTCTACTACAATCAGAAATCTGGTCGATGCGAATCTTTCATCTACGGTGGGTGCCAAGGAAACGAGAACAATTTCGAAACTTTAGACGAATGCCGAGACACCTGCCAAGGTATGACGAATTGAGATTTTTGGAAAATTAAGACCATGGGCGCGAGTCTGATTGGATATCTGTTTGCCATAGTTTCTTCTGCTGCAGTAGATTGCTCATCCGAACCCGAAACGGGTTTATGCGATGCGTTATTCCGTCGTTACTATTACGATGATGAAAGTGAAACCTGCAAAGAGTTCGTGTACGGAGGATGCGGTGGCAACGGCAACAACTACAGAACCAAAGAGGAGTGCCTCAAAACCTGCGCCAGTAAGTGCTCGAAACCTTACAAATTGATGGAAGGATTAAGAATCTTCTAAATTTAATTTATTTCTCCACAGAATTCTGAAGATATTAAAAATGATCCGATCTTTCGTGTAATTTTACTTACTATATTAAACTTTAAATATATAATTCGAAATGTGTTTCCGTTTTTTAATAATAAAAATGAAAACTTAACACTAACACTACTGTTATTATTGGATATGTCTCGAAAACGAGCAATCTTCACGTACTTATGACGTTCTTGACGTACAGTGATACGTCGGCAACACGTAACAATCGAAATGTAGATTTGAAGTTGTTTAAAACAGACAACGCAAAATCGGGTAAAACAAACAACGGAATAGACGTAATACTTTATTCTTCTACATCAAAATATGAGAAAGCATAAGTATAATTAAATAAAAATAGAAATCTGAAAGACAAAGCTAATTCTAATCTACCTTTTCTAATAGTTATTTTGAATACGTAAAGGGTGTGTCAGGCATTGAAAGAAGAGTCGAATGCCTCCTCAAGTACGGTTACGTCGCGTAGTACGACTTTAACCCGGAGAAGGCATTCGACTTCAATTTTAGTTATAGAATCTGTACAGATGCCAAAGAGTTTAACACAAAGTATCTACGAAAATGTTGACGTGTTAAGCGTGGAGTATGTACAGGTAGCGTCTAAGACGAGCAAAGAAATAGAGCAATCGACAGAGCGGAAATGACATCAAAGCAACGTGGCGCGGAACTTCAAAACGTGTGCTAGATCCGTTTTCGGTCACCCCTGCGGGGTGGAACCCATGGGGGAACACAAACCCCGGTACGACATCTCCTCCCACTTAATCTTTCGGACAGGGGAGTCTAAAGTACATCCCTATCGACAATGAACTGTTTGCGACCAAAGAAAAGAAAGAGGACAAAGGAGGACGTGTGAAAAAAGGTGCTAGTCCGGGCGTCAAGTGGCGAACGGACACAAATTGAACCAGGGATTGTAAAGCTCGCCATTGTCCTCCACGTTGTGCTTTTCACCGCCTTGGCTTTAGTCCGAAAATCTATTCTTGTTCGAGACAGATTACCCACTCCAGAGGTGTCTAACACTAAAGTTGATGGCGTACGAACGTAACGGTCCAGATTAAATCTCTCGCACCCTGTTAAAACAATGGTTTCTGAGGGTGCCAGGGTGTTTAAACGATTCCCATTGGTCGGTCGAGGGGGAGAATTTATCAATCGATTCTATCATTCGCTCGGGAATTCTTCTTTTGTGTGTTAAACGGTGACAGAGATGAACTCCATTTTTTAAAATACACCTCGTCGTCGGTCGTCGCTTAAAATGAATTTTCTTCGGAAATTAAGCGAAAATACATATATTATGTGCCCAATATTTTAATTAGTGAACGTGTTTTCCTACCATTATAAACATTTCGTGTTTAAATTAAGTATTTTTCATGACCAATATCTTATGTAAGTGTAACCTTACATATTATCCTGTTTAATGTGTTCTATCCCCGTATGAAGAGCACCCATCTATATTCGTATCCACGAGACAAAAGTCATAAATTTAGGAAATTTTCGTGTAATCGTGCCCACTTTTAGAGGAAAAAATACGTTTAAAGGGTGCACAACGAGGCATACAATCGAAAATTATATACAGTTTCCAATATCAAGAACACTACAATATACCTTCGAGTGGCACCATCGAGGAGGAAGTAACAAACAACATTTTGCCAATCACTACCCCAAAATAAGCCTTCTTTTCTATATACCACACGTCAATCACGAGTGTGACGAATAATAAGGGAGGAGTGCGACGTCACCCCGTAGGAGCGCATCGATTGGTAGATGGCACCGTCATATAGAGAGATCACCTGGTGTTGCACATGACGTCCGAATCTCTTGCAACGTTCGTCTCTTCGCAGCCTTCTGAAGAAATGCCCGAATATTTGTCTTATGCAACGAATTCTACCTACTCCTTGGAACAAATATCCTGCGTGTGTGACGTACTCCTTGAATCAGGAGAAATTCAACAGCTGAAAAACTTTCTTTGCTCCCAACGTTTGAACGAATCATCCAACAAGACATGCAATCAGTCGATCCTTAGAGCGCAGGCTGCAGTAGCCTACCATCTAGGAAACTACAAGGAATTGTATTCTATCCTAGAAAACAATACCTTCGATCCTAGGTACCACAAGAAGCTCCAGGATTGGTGGCACGAGGCTCATTATCACGAGGCAGAGTACATAAAAGGTAAATCCTTAGGAGCAGTCGATAAGTACCGTGTAAGGAGGAAGTTTCCTTTTCCTAGGACTATTTGGGACGGGGACGAAATTAATTATTGTTTTAAGGAGAAGTCTAGGAAGATCCTGAAAGAATATTATCGTCAAAATCATTATCCCAATCTTAACGAGAAGAGTGTTTTGTCAGAAAAAACTGGATTAACACTAACTCAGGTCAGCAATTGGTTCAAGAATAGAAGGCAGAGAGATCGCACCACTAAGATCAATTCGTAAGTCACATTTTTCAATTCTCATCCTATTTAACTAGACTTTTGAGTTAGACACTTTTCAGGCTATTTACAGGGGTTGTTATCTCACTTTAAGGCTGTATTTTAGTTGTCATTTAGTCTTAAATGTTAAGGATACAGTTTATAAGCCAGAAACGAACCTTTATCGCCCCTAAATTAGTGGATTTTCGTGTTTTTATCTAAAGAAATCCTTTCTACGCTAAATTTGGTAGTTTAAGGGTCCTAAATATCCTAAATTTACCAAAAATTAGTCCCTTTAACATACACGACACTAAGCAAAGGCGTTATACGAGAAGGATAGTTAACAGAACACTATATAAAGTCAGAAACCCGATCTGTGGTAATTTAAGACATCGAGATGCTCAGGATAAATTAGAACTCTTCAAATTTTGTATAGAAAATAATAGATTTTTTAAAGTAAATAGATGACAAGAGGTCCACACCACAAAATTATGGATTCTTCCACAGGATCTTTGAAGGATAATGGTAGAGTTTTGACTAAAAGAAATGCTGTCAAGTATCCAAGTACGGACCAATGGAGACAAGTTACAATGGAAGGTAAAGAAAGGTGGAAAGGGGGGTTATGTATACGAGCACCTCGCTTGTATACTTAGATAACAGTCTATATTCAATGGCGTAAGAAGTATGTTAAACGTTGAAAATCGAAGGGGGGTCTTTGTTAGAATAAATGCGGTCGTAGCAGACAGGATGAGAGTAATTTAGAAGGTCTGGGGAACCTCTTTCAATAGCGAAACAATGAGTTTGAAAGCAAGAAAGGTATATAAAAAGCTCCCTTTTTTCACTTTCCTCCAACTCAAAACATTTTTATATAAACAATTTTCGTCTTTCTATAGATTTTTCTACCAAATTCTCAGCCCCTTTCACTTTCTAACCAAGGTCTTCCATTTTAATATTCCAAAATGATTGATTTTTTCGAGGTGTAAAGTAGTGAAATACTTATTTAAAATGAGCAATTGACAAATCTTTCTCATACTTGTAACATAAAACGAATATAAACTGTAATCGGTTCAAAGTTTGTTAAACAAGAAATGGAATCTCGTGTATAAAAAGGTTAGTGACATTCAAACAAAACGCTCGCATCATTTCTATTACCTTCAGTGTTTACTTCCATTTATATACACAGGTATCGCCTACATATTAAGGCACGTCACAAACATATCTTTTTCTCCCTATAAAGAAAAATCCCCACATTTTTCACTGATTTCCGTCCTTACTAACGCAGAGAGCCGTACCTTTTTTACCCGTTAACAAAGCAAAACCCTAAAAATCTCCTTATTAAAAGAGAAATCCCTACACTAACTTCGTTTAAACAAAGCAAAATCCTTACATTCTTCTTACTAGTAATATTTTCCCTTGTTAATAAAGAAAATCCTTACATTTTTACCCTACAATATGCCAGTTATTCAACCCTAAAATTCCAATTTTATTCCCTAAAAGATCTTATTAATCGAACGATCTTACACTGTTGAAGGGCATAAAATTAATTGGCGTAGGGCTTAATTTTCAACGCAAGATACTAAATTTTGTAGTGTATAAATAATTTAAAGTATTGGCAGACAGAACAAATGGAATTTGCCTAGTTTAGTCAAGTGTTAGTAACAACAATTAACAATATAAAGTTACAAAGTATCATAAACTGAACTGAAGTGAACCAAAACACGCATTTAATTGTTACGATACACTTGAAGGATGATTCGACATTTAAGGTTTTGTTTAAATTCAATTATGATGAGTCATAGATAAACTATAGAAAGGTTTCGTTTTACAAAACAGAAAACAATACTTTTTTCTTGCAGAAAAATTAAAAATTCCAACGAAAATATCAGAGAAAATCATCCAAATTGCTCCAGAAGGGACGTGCCATTATCATCCGTTCAATTTAAAATGAATCAAACTTATCATCATCCACCTCAAATGCCTTACAACGACTGCATATCTACTTATTGCGCCTATCCGATTCATCATCCTGCATGAAGATCATCACCATCGTCCTCATCATCCTCTTTCACGTATTTATCCGCATCTCTTCCGGGTGTTTTCTGTAACTACTTACGAAAATTCCTTCCATAGAGTTATTGATCTTGTATTTTTTAATAATAATAATAATAAAACAATATTTTGCAATACAATTGAAAAATATTTTCCTGTGTATTTTCAATAGAATCAATAAAAGTTTTGTGTATGTTTAAAGGTGTTTTATGCTCCTTTACTTGTTAAACGAAACATATATAAGGGTTTTTTCTAGTGTTAATTTATATACACGCGTAGTTTCTTTACATCCTTGTAACAAGTGATTTCAGGTCTGTAGGCCTTATAATAGGGCCCACAAATACAAACCTATAAGGCCTTATAGGGTAAATTTCCCAAAACAAAAATCGCTCAGATACGTTCCAAATTTGGAAAAGATTTTAATAACGTAATTATAACAATTAACCCCCTTCTGTGACGTAGATTGTTAAGAAACTTGATTTATTACAAGTCACTCTGTTACAATATTGTTCTAAGTGATGGAAATTAGAGAAAATTGCATTAATTCCGAACGAATTCAATCGTTAAATCCATATAAATTCCATTATAAACGATTCACTTAATACATTTGGTAGGTACCGTCCGACCGTCTGTCGATCCGTCGTAAATGAGATTACCTTTTCAACTATCCTATAAGATTAACTTGGATTAGTGAGGGATGGATTAACAAAATTAAGTTCAACTTATCAGAAAGGGTTGCTTATTAACGACGTAATTTACAAAGAAAAATAAAGGATATTTCCTTAAAATATAACCGAATTTGCATAAAGAAAGACGCCCGAAAAAGTAGGAGGGGATGAGAACAAGTACAGAACCACCCAACACAGGGAGGATTTCAATAGTCAAATCTCTTATTGGCTAACTTGTACAGCTGAATCCTCCTATCACGTGTTCATTTTTTTTTAAAACTCAACCTTCGAGGGGGGACTAAAAGGGATAATTTTGAAGTTAAATATGTTTTTATTTTGTGCTTTGATGTAATTGTATCCCTTCATACAAGTCAGTTCATCTTTCTGATCCACACAAATGGGAAAAATTAGTGATGTGTGTGATTTAGTAATGAATGGAACCCTTTAACCTTAGAGGAAATGAGGAAGGATTAAAGAATTGATCCAAAAGGTCATTTCGAAAGGTCGAGTTAAGGTTCATTTGCCATCCGAAAGGATTTGTTAAGCTGAAATTTTTGTTGTATGCATTATTTCTGTGTTAAATATTGTTTTATTTATAATAAAAAAACAAAAGGTAATGTATTTTATGTACAGAATTTCAGGAAAAAAACAGTTTTTAGATGTAATTTTAAACCTTTTTAAAAACTTAATTAGAAATTATCCTTTATATTTTCAAAAAATTCCTCAAAAACGTTACTAATTTTTTATATTCCAAATAAAAATAGTTCTGTATCAGTGTTAATTACGGTTTATTTTTAATAATGAATTTGATTTTATAATAAAAAGTATATTATTGTCTAGTGGAAATTTAATCTGCGCAACAGTGCATTCATGAGGCTCCATTTCAGTTAAGTTTATGTAAAATAACTCCCATTAAACAGTATTGAGGATGGTCATAGGTGCCTTAAAGTGGATACTAGACAAAAACTGTAGATTATGTATATCAAAAACCACCACTGGTCTTTTGCGCCCATGCTAATTAGGCTTTTTGATATAATTTCCAAGAGAATGTTATTCAATTTATCCAATAATTTCATTTTTATTAACAAAAGCTTCATTTCTACATATTTTTACATATCACAGATGATATAAACAAAATTTATAAAAGTTATCTAACTTGTAAGAATTTATAATATCATTCCTAGCATCATATAAATTTATAAATGGTTAAAGTTGAGCAATTTTCACAAAAATTTTTAGTTTTAACCATCTAATTAATTTTCTCTGACTTTTGTAGTTATATTGTACATACAATTAAAAAAAAATGTTTATACAATGTTTAAATCAGGATAATTTTAAAGTAATAACTATAAATAATTTGTTATTTTGCATTCTATGAGATTATTTGGCTACTGATGTAAGTTTATACTTTGGCTATGACTTTTTACTAGAGGTTAACGATTTACATTTCTTCTGGGACGTTTCTTTCTCCGAGATCTCCGAATATGAGTTCCAGAGCCGCGTGAACGTCTCCGCCGGTGGCTTCTAGGGCTCTGAGACTGATCGAGTCGTCGGAAATTCCCATGTCTCTCAATTGCTGCAACTGAGACTGTAAGAATTGTTTAACTTTAATTACTTGTATCGCCTCTCTGTAATTTATATGTAATACTATATACCTGGAGACTGCTTTGTCCTTGAGTAACCACCCCCAAAGCGTGCTGCATGGCTTGGTTGAACATTTCAGAAGTGATCATGCCTCTCGGTGTGGGAGGAGGTGCGTGTAACTGAGGAGAAGGAGGTGCCTGAAGATGGGAAGAGGAAGACTGTCCGTCTTGTTGAGAATTATCTGTCGTCCTGGGGCTACCCGGGGTGGCGGCGACTGCCGCTAGTGCGGAGGCTAACTGTGCCGGAGTAATGGGACCCGGAGATAACATCTGGCTACCCATAGCCTGAAAATATAAAGTTAGATTGTGATAAATACAAAAAGAGTTGCATTAACATACTTTATAATCAATATTTCTCACTGATACAAATTTAAATATGTAATATAGGGGAGATCGGGGCAAGATCGGCATGTTAAGCTTTACTTAAATTTTGTGTAATAAATACCACTGTAAACTGAAAAAAAGCTTTGCATATTGTCTATTGGAATGTTACCTTACTATAGAACTGGTTAAAATCAGTTTGGAAATAAAAATAATTAAAATAATTACAACTTTACAAGAAGAGAGAAATTGACGAAGTTGCCCCGGGTATAGGGGCAAGATCGGCAACTTCTCTCTTTTTGTAAAGTTGTAATTATTTTAATTATTTTTATTAAAGTTGCCCCTGGTATAGGGGCAACAGTAATGGGGCAAGATAGGCACGTATATAAAATTATGTTATTAACAATGTATAAGTTGGAATTCACTATTAAAACAAAGAAATACAAATCCGACACCAATTTAATATTATTACAACGAAATGCAAGTTCAAAGACATATATACATGAATAACAAATGCAAACATGTTTTCATTTATCATCTGTTTGATTTTTATCCTTTGCTTCTAATGTGGCTTTATGTTGCCGATCTTACCCCGCTAGTCATGATTTCGAAACATTAAGTACAACCCTGAGAACAGAATGCCAAGCCACGATCTGGCCACGTGAATAAGTTGAAGTTACATCCTTCTAACAGAAAAAGTAACTTTCGTTATCATGGAATTATAACAAAACCTGCCAATTCAATATAAATGGAAAAAAAATATTATATGGAATTGAACGAAAATGAAAATTTGCTTGATAATTCAACTACGCTTGTTGGAGAACAATAAAAACACTACACTCAACAAGCCACCAATAAAACTCAACCGCCTAACCTATAACCAAAGTCTCCTTTTAATTTGTTTTTTAAAAAAAGCGCTTGACAAACTTGCCCCGCATGCCGAAGTTGCCCCGGTCTCCCCTATATAAAAAATCTGAAGTGAAAAAAAAAAAATGTTTAAAATACGAAAATTAATTACAAGTATATTCTTGAACTTAGTTAAATGAATTATAAATATAAATTTGACTGTTCAAGCAGTGTTTCAATCAAAGCTATCAAATATTTTAAGTAACTTATACATGTGAAAATATTTGCTAATCACTAAATTAAAAAAATTAAAAGACAATCAAACATATTAATGTGAAAATGTATTGCTGAATTGTATAAGTTTTCATGTTAAATGTATCTGATCATTATAGTAAGAAAATAGCAAATCTTTTTATATATATAAGCTAATGAATCAAATAATTAATTCAGATAAATGAAGAAAAACTGTTAAAAACATATTTAATACTATATATTTGAAGATCATATGAAAATTTAATCATAAATCTTTCATAATTTGAATCTCTCAAATAAATTTCTTTATTCTGCAGAATCAAAACTAAATAATTTTTTGAATCATTTTACTACTTTTAAACTAATTCATATTTAACTGTGAAAGCATTATTAAAAATAAATTAAACTTTAAACATACTTGATCCTGATCACTCTCCATTTCATCTTCATCACTCAAAGCATCGAGAGAATAAGAGATCATGGGGGCTGCATTTGTAGCTCCTTGCGACGAAGATGCTTCTTCATGAAACGCAGCTGCAATATGAGTAGCAGCTTCAGCTAATGAAGGGTGTAGTTCAACAACTCTGAAGAGAAAAATAAATTATAATAAAGTATTTTTGAGCTTAACTTAATCTAAAAAATAATTGAAAAGCTAAAATGGCTAATAAAATAATTGTTAACTACAGTGGGTGATCAGTACCAAACAGTTCAGTTAACAAACAAATCGAATAACGAACACCTCAGAACAAACACAAGAAGAAGTAACATAAAATAATGAATACCAATTGGTCTTCCCTTGTCTTCAGGCAACAATTCGAAAGTTTTTGGAGTGCGGGAGACGTCGACATTGATGTTCAATCCGGTATATACTGATCTGATAGTATTCCTCCGAACTTTGAAACTCTCTCTTGTAATTCCAGCCTTTTAGTTTTCTGACAAAAACAATTCTTTTATAGTATTCGCGAGACTGTCAGGCAGGCACTCGTTAAGTTTTGCATGGGTTTTTATTTTCGAAAGATGAGCGTATAATAGCAAAGGTAGAGAATGGGCAGAAGATGTCTGATGTTGCTGGACAGTATGGCTCAAACAGGTCTACAGTAGGCCACAGTTCAATCTTATCTAAGAAAGATACAGTATAATCAAAAAAACCCAAGCAGCTAAAGGAGTAACAAAAATCACATCTGAGAAATAAAGAACATTGAAGAGCTCATAATAGAATGCCTGACAACATCTGAAATGGATCTGATGACAGAAGAACAACAAGAACTCCTGAATGAATAACACCAAGAAACTCGGCGAGATATGTTTTCTTCTGAAAATGAGGATTAATGCCAATATCTGCTATTAAAAATCTTTTGAAGAAGTGGGAGGATGTCAGAATGACGGTCTTAGAATGGCATCCAAACCAGGTTGAGGTTAATAGGCTTAGGTATCTCTACAACGACAATGCTATTAATTACTTCCGAAAAATCCTAAAGAGAGAAAAGCAATCGAATTAGACATATTCTTTAACCCCCAAAAATGGAAAAAACATGACTAATAAAAATGCAAGACTGTGTATATATGTATTTTTATTATTACATATAAATAAACATAGTAAGAAAGTATGTTTTTTTATTTTTTGACGTCTCCAGAATGAATTAATCAAATTCCCATAAAAACCTATGGTAAATCGATAATTAGTTAACGAACAATTCGGATAGCAAACAAAGTCTTGGAATGGATTATGTTTGTTAACTGATCACCTACGGTGTGCTAGAATAGGATTTTCGTATGAGAGTAGGCCTTAAATTTTCTTCAACCCAACACATTTATGACCTTTAAAATACGTTCATTAAATTATGGTCGACAAAACTTTTATTAATGTGACCAATCAAAAACATTAATTGAATGATGTTGAGGTTTTTGATTAAAAAAAAAATTACATAAGTTTATCTTTAAGAGAGGTTTTCTAGTGTGATGCAAGATAAATATTAATCACCTGAACTGTAATTTATATACAAGATAGAGCAAAAATGAATTAAACTTTTGGCATAAGTTTTTAAACAACACACAGAACATTTCTGCTCTTTCATAATCCCACTTTCAAAATAAGCTCCTTCAGCAGCTATACATTTCCTTTGGTGCCCATAGAGCCTTGGAAGACATTTTTTGTAATATCTTTAATGACTTTCATTACTGCAGCTTTTCCATTTGGTTACTATCAGTCATTTAGGATTAATGAATATCTAACTAAAAAGAACATAATAATGCTTCCTCAATCTTTTCATTTTTTCTTATTTTAACTTTATTTTTTACTTCCACAGACTCAACCCAAAAGAGATGTTGAAGGATCAGCTGCAACTGTAGTAGAAGTGAGAGTTTCAATAATGCAATAGCAAGAATCTGTGTGTTTGTAATAAAACCCATGTCATAACTGATCCATTTTTCACTTTACTTGTATTGCATATGTTTTTGTCATATAATAAGTGTTACTTATTTTTTAAAGTGTATCCATCACTACAATTTTTGAACACACATTCTGAATTTCTCGCACAAAATTTCTTAATTCTTCACATCAAATGTTTTAAAAAAACAAAAAAATTGTCTTAACTTAAATTTAAACTTTTCAAGAAAGAAACCAAACTTAAAAATACAGTCGACTCCCTATAACACGGTAGATACATTCCGTTTTTTATGAATCCATTTTCTACGAGTCCAGCCAATCACAGCCCGGCACATATGCAGTTTATGAACTACGGCTGTTTGAAAGGTTTTTTCCATAAAATCAATCGATTCTAGACTAATTTGACTCAACATTTCCAAAACACGTATAATTTTTTGGGAATAATCCATACAAACTATGCTATAAACAAAAAATTGTAGAATTACTTACCAAGTGTGCACCGTTCGACTATGCCATTGCTTAAGCTTGTTTTCGTCGTGGAGCTTGTCATTGAATGGCGTTCGCGTGCTTCCTGATAAATGATTTTTTTTTTGCAAAAAATTTGCTGAACTTTGGAGACACCATTAATATAAATATAATTTTTATGGACGTTAAATAATAAATGGTTTTTAGTAGGTCCACTGCTCGTTTAAACTCAACGGTTTGTGCAATATCCGCCATTGGTCTAGATTCAATCAATCTTGTCGTGACACGAGTCAGCAATGATGTTTTACCGAATTATAAGAGTTTTTTTTAGCATGTTTGTACAAATACTATCGCAATTTTTTCGATTCAGTATTTCAATAACAGNAGATAAAGTTCACAAAAAAAATAACAGAAATTTTTTGAAAATTTTGGAATTTTTAGTTGAATTTGATCCAGTTACGGAAAAACATTTAATGAGAGCTAAAGAAAAAAACAAAATCTCTTCACTATTTACGAAAAACCATTTAAAATGAAATTTTGGAACTGATTGGACCAAGCATCAAAAGTAAAATTTTGAAAAAAATGCAGGATTCTAATTATTATGCATTTGTACAACAGACACAAGCCATCAGGAACAAATGTCAGTTAGTTCGATATATTGAAGTGGATCCCAATAATAATAATAATAATCAATGAAAGTTTTCTTGGATTTCATTTAATCGAAGGTTCAACAGGAATTGAATTGACAAATGCCATCATTGATTCACTGGAACAATATAATTTATCAATAGAGAATATCAGGGATCAAAGTTATGACAATGGTGCCAACATGAAAGGTATTTGAAATGGTGTTCAGACCCACATTTTGAAAAGAAAAAAAAAAAACCATGAGCAATGTACATTCCATGTCACAATCACACTTCGAATTTAATGGTGGTTTATTCAGTGCAAGTTCACCTCAAATTGCACTATTTTTCAACATTATTGAACAAGTTTTCAAATTTTTTTCAGTTTCTACAAAAAGATGGAGCATCTTACAATCTAAGTGTCCATCATTTACAGTCAAATCATTAAGTGATACATGCTGGGAAAATCATATTAATGCTGTCAAGACTCTAAGATTTGAATTTTCTAAAATTTATGAAGAATTACAAGATGTTGCAAAAGAATCTAATGATGCAATCATAAAAATTACAGTCAAATCCATCGCATCAAAAATCACAAATTTTGATTTTTTATGTTCAATTATAATTCGGTACAATGTCTTTTTTGAAGTCAATATATCAGTAAACAACTTCAATTCCTTTTAACTAAATACAATAGAGCATCGATTATCCGACTCAATTGGGGACTCAGGTTGGTCGGATAACTGAAAAAATCGGATAACCGAAAAGAAGGAAAAAGATACATTATTAGTAGAGTATATTAGGATATTAGTATATCCCATGTAATTAGTTTATTAGTATATCGCTATTAACCAACTTCGCGTTGAATTTTCATTGATGTTTAGCCGAACAAATTTTTTTTTTAAATAATAATCGTCGCTATCATATCGTTAAAAATTATTTTAAAATTGTTTTATTGCTCATGAAACGAACCACCACTCATAATTAAAAAATTAATTCTCATTTAAATACTGCCCTCCCTTCAATGGTTAAGCCGTTGATGCCAGCTAGAACACGCAAAAATTTAACAAAAATAATATTAAAGTAGCCAAGACGTAGCCAAATATTGTAATGCCACATCACTAGCGGACATTTGAAATTTTCCAACTAGAATGGTCGGTTAACCAATGTGATGGTTAATCGGGGGTCGGATAATTGATGCTCTACTGTATTTCAAAAAGCTTAGAACTTCTAGAACAAACAATTAATTTTTTGAAGGAAAACTATAACCAAAACAGATTTGATTCAATTGTTAAAGAAGCAAAAAAATCTTGCTGGTATTTTAAATGTGGAAAATGAGTTCGATTTTCTCACAAACTTTGGGATGACAATGGAAAAGAAAAAGATTTTTTGATGATGAGGAAAACATCAAAGAAAATTTAAGCCAGATACAGAAGTACAAAAAAGAAGTTTTTGATAAAACATTTAGTTGTGCACTTACTTCTTTGGAAGAATGATTTAAAACATTTCAAATTTTTGTTCAACATAAAAGATATTTCTTTTATGGCAGATGAAGATTTCTTGAGAGAATTTGGGAAAAAAATTAACAAATGAAAATAAACAAGACATTTCTGGAGAAGAATTAAAAATAGAACCAAAATCCCTGGCATTCTGGCTCAATGAAGATATGGATCCAGAGAAATGTTTTAATTTTATTTACAAAAACAATTTGAATGAAATTTACATAAATGTATCTATCACATTAAGAATCATGTTAACATTGCTCATTACATTGCTGCTACAGAACAAAGCTTTTTGAAGCTTAAAATAATGAAAAACTATTTAAATCAAGAAAGACTTAACAACTTGGCAATGATTTCGATTGAAAGTGCCATTGCTAATAATTTAAACATTGAAGATTTGCAATTGAAATTTGCAACAGTGAAAACTCGAAAAGTTACATTTTTAATATAATTATTTCCTGGTTTTTTGTACCAAATTTGAATTAAAAATTACCTTAATAAAATTAATTATAAATATATACTCTTATAAATTGTAGCTGAATTTTCAAAAAAGGTGGAAACATAAAAGTTTCACGCACTCTCAAAATTTGTAGAGCCGGCAATGTGTGCAGCATTTGAAAAATATTAAAGACATAGGCAGATTTAAAATCAAACAATTCCTACCTTAATGATACAAAGTAATATCTGAAAGAATCTGTTCAAGAAACAGTCAATACTTTGTATTGACCATTTCTTGAACAAACTAATTTGCAAATCTCACTCTGGATTCAATAATATCCATTCTATTTGTATCAACTGGAATTTGTGTGCATTCCTTCACAGTATACAACATTCCATTTAAGTATCTTTCTATGGTTCTGAGTTAACCCAAGTTTAGCTGGTTATCATTGAAGTGAGCATGCATTTACTTGCATTAAAATCAGACAAAAATTACTCTCCAAGATATGTTGATGTCAAGCACACACGTCTGTATCAATCTTCAGCTCTCTAGCACCATCAGGTGTATTCTTCACAATGCATCCTTCTTTCACAAAACATCTAACGATGTTATAAGCAGTTTGCTGTTTTACCTTCAGTGCTTTTTAGGAAACCTTCTTTTGCATACAAAAAAGGCAGTGATGATGACTGCATTGTCATCACACACATTTCTTACCACAATCTTAAATTTATGTTAATTGTCCATAAACATCTATATACCAATCTAAATAATTCTATTTGCATATTAAACATAATTCTTGTTACGTCAATGTCATATCTTTGTGTCCATATAAAATCAACTGGAGTTGAAGTCTGATTGTTATTTTCATTTTGGGGTCTTTCTTTTTAAGGATGGAAACTCCCAAGAAACCCCAAAATATGCTAAATTTAAAAATAAAGACCAAAATATACTAATTTACATAAGTGACTGATCCTGTGACATGTGGATATGTAAATAGAGTAGTGTGGAGTTACACCAATAAGCAGATAAAAGATGGCACACCCATTAAAAGGTGTGGTGTAGTTCCCAACAGTGACCTTCATTAAATCAAATTGTCTGGCATTCTTCGTATTGTCAGCTTGTAAGAAGTGTATTTTTTGTTTATTAATTTGGTGGAGATTTAATTAATTATAAAAAAATTTCTTTCATTGATTGATTGTTTATTTTGTATATAATCGATCTTGACTTGATTTTTTTAAATATTTGAAATATATAAGCAAAAATACATAAAAATATTTATTAGATTGAACAGTATTGTATGTACAAGCAACAATGATTGTGACAAGAAGTTAGTAATAAGTATATAAGTGTTATTTTAGATTATTGTATTTTGCTTTCCCATTGGTTACAATGGTTCAGGCCTGGTACTTGATTAGAACCCTAAATTGTCTAACCCTGCCTTTTTGTGTTGCACAGTATGTTACAATTTCTCAAAATGTATCTGAGAACATATCTTACTGTAAATTGTTAATCACATTGTTTATTTTGGAAGTGTTATGCTCTTAATGAATATGCTTTGAATGTTTGGATGGATTTACTTAATTAATGAAAAAAATACATTGTCCTTACATATTATTTGTGTTCTAAATTCAAAACTTCTTTGTCCATATTGTAGGACCGATTCATTTTCTTAGAAAAAAATTTGTTTATATTACTTGCAAATGATTATTGCAATAAGAATATCACTTTGTTTCATTATGATAAAGGAAATTGCTTGATTTGAGATCTACGTACATCTTTGATGTTTTCAAAATGCTACATGAAATGAGTCATACCAGAATATAAGTACAGTATACTACCAATTATCTGGGCTAATGATGGAGAGAAAATTGAAAAACATGAATAATTCAATACTTATTTCTTAGAAGGAAATGAAGCCTAGAGACTATCAGAAATTTCTACAAGCTTTAGTTCATATTTTCCCATCTAGACAGCATCATTTCATTTACACAAAATATTTTATTTAAACAAAAAAAAATTTTGTGGGGTTGGTGCCACTTTCTTTGGCCAATTTTGTGCAAAAAAAAAAAATTGGGGAAGGCTGATGCATGGATAATCCACATATGAATAATCGGAAATACACTGTACATTTGTTTACTTTAAATTATTAATGTTTTTTCAAATTTGTTTAACTGCAATAATGTGTTAAACATTATCCCATTTTTATATAAAGAAATCTTGTTAGGGTTTATATTCAATTTTTATTTAAATATCATTACTATAGTTTATTTATGTTAATTGGTATTTTTTCAACAGAAAATCTAATCATTACCTTTATAGGTTCAATTAAAAAGCAAAAATGAAATTCATGAAAAATAAACTTATTCAGAAGAGTAAGGAATTCTTCACACAATCAATTATTATTAACAAGCATTGACAATAATTTCAATATGTAAAACATAAATTTTCTGGCATTTATAAATTGAAATAAATGTATTTCTTAAGCATTTATTGATTTAAATAAACATCAAGTCTTAAAAATAGATCTACTGATATTAAATTGTATCTAGATTTATTTTATTCTAGTCAAGTTGTTAACAATTTTAGTGTGTTTCTTTAAAAACTCTTTTATTAAAAGTACCTATGTACAGCCATTATCTTTTCAACATTTCTTGTAGACGTATTTAAAAATTAATTATAATTTATTTAAATAATATTTACCTATAGCAATCGGATCATCAGCTAATCCTGGTGTAGCTGCAATAATGTTTTCCATTACTTCGGGTTTACTAAGTTGTTGGATCTGAAACAAAATAAATGATATATTTTATTAAATTTATCTATTATATTGGATGAATTTCAAGGTAGATAGTTTAGACAGGCATACAAAAAAATAAACTACACGAGCACCATTATCATATTACTAATAATTAAAATAACAACAAATCTAAATGGCAACATAATGCAAGAAATTACATTATTGAATAAAGATATTTACTTTCATTTAAAAAAAAATACTACTTTCTATTTACATGTTACAAACTGCATGAACTTTTTGACCAACCAAAACAATTATGCCATTGACTGTCAAAGAAATTTAGAAACTTGCACGTAATAATACAAAAAAAATCTGACATGGCCCAGTGTAAAGTTTTAACATTTTCTTATCTGAAATAAGTAAACAAACTCCAACTTTTTGCACTCAGGTTCAAGTATCTTTGCATGACCCCAATTTTTATCATTATAATTTTTACCAGAGCTGTGAAATCAACAGATCAAGCTCTCAACTCCAGCTGTGACTCATAGAATTTTAGATGATCTGACTCCAACTCCTGCCTTTAAATAATAATTTTAAATATACTATGATTATATTAACACAGAATGGCATTTCATCACTACCAAATGAATCACCAGTATACTTTTTAAACATTTTAAAAGTAAATCATCAGGTATACCTATTGAAACTGAGAACACTTATTTTTTTCAGAGTTTTTCATTACAACCACTATCTCTTCAAACCACATACTGACACACAAAATGTTGCAGTAAAGTATTAAATTTTGTAAATTTGAAATTTTGTCTTTCCACAAATCAAACAAAATCTTGCATTATAGAAGGCTCCTATAAAGCACAACATAGGATTAATGCTCCTATTAGGGTCTTAAAGAACAAAATAAAAAACATGAGTCAGTCAGTCCATTTTTACGCCTCCGACTCCTCTAGTAACGAATTTGCTTTTGGCTCCAATTCTGACTCTACAGACCTGATTTTTACATAGAAAAATTCATTTTCTTTTTCAATATAACAAAGTTAACTTTATTGAGTGCCCCCTATATTTACAGGACCCCAGAATGATGACTTATGCACCTTTGCCAAATATGTCTCTATTGTGTAGTACAGAATAGAAACATATGACATTATCATTTAGTATCCTTTAGTGTCTAGTCTATATGTATAAAGTCTTAGTTCATTGTGTTGTAATTATAGCATTTCATACAAAATAGTGATCTAGCAAAGCAGAAAACAACAATTTTGGTGAATCATTAAAATTTTACATGCACTCAAGATTTCTTGAGTGCATGTAAAATTTCAGAGTAAGATCAGAAAGAATCAAAAAATATTCAGAGTAAGATCAGAAAGAATCAAAAAATATTCAGAGTAAGATCAGAAAGAATCAAAAGAATTATCTTTTTCTTGCACTATAATTACATGAGAACATACTGCAGCAAGGAAATAATCAATGCTTAAAAATCTGAAATTACAGGTTATTCTAGCCCCTCCTTATATCACTAGATTTCCCAAAATTAAAGGTGATGCTGAAAAGTTGCTTTTCAACAGATGTCTGCTTTATAGAAATGGAATGAGAGGGAAAAAAGGAGTCTTTGTACATAGAATGCAAAAATAGTTTAAATTTTTGAAAAAATGTAATCAGTTCTAAACAGTTGTTATGTTGATCAATCAACTCTCAAATTAAAAAATTGTTCAATAAATATTGTGTTTTAAATAAAAAGAAAATGAAATGTAGAAGATCAAATTGGTTTCTTGACAATAAAAAAATGAAATGTTTATTATATTCTGTTATAAATATCTGAATGAAATTAAGTTTTTAAAGAAACAAAGCTTTTTACCATTGTTCGAAATGCCGGATTCATCAATGCCGTTCTCAACGCAATAACTAATTGCTGAATTTCCTCTTGACTCAGTCCTATACAGAAGAAAAATTTTATAAAATATTTTACAATTTCGAACAAGTTAAAATTCAATTTCTATATCAAAATTTAGTACAACAAAATTAATATTATAGTGTATCTGTATTGAGTAAATAGCTCAGATACTGTACTTGTAAAATAATTACATAATAAATATTTTAAATGTTTATTATGTAATTATTCTTCTGTCATAATTACTTTAATTGTTATATAATATTTATTTTAAATCTAGAGGAATTTAAAAGCTTTAAATTTTAAAACCTGACGATGCTACTTATACAGTAAACTTTATGCCTGGCAATATAATTCTTTTATACATAAGAGAAATGAGATTACTGTTGCCAAGTCCTTAAATTCTCCCCCATTATACCAACCACCAAATTAAGTCAACATCCCCAAAAATGTTCACATTCAAATTTAAAGTAACTTATTATACAGAACTAAACACAAGTTTAAAGTAAACACATACAGTAGAACCCCTCTAGTCCGCCCTCGGCTAGTCCGTCACTCCGGTTAATCCGACCGTGGTCGGAGTCGAGAAACTTGTCCCGACTCGTCGGTGACTCACCGTCCGTGGCGTTTTTCTGTGTTCGTTACAGTATATGTTTTACATTGTGTGTTCATGTACAGTTTTGTGTGTGTTTTCAACATGTCAGGAGTGAAACGTAAACATGTTACTCTTCCATTAAATGAAAAATTAGCAGTGCTACAAAGACTAGACAAAGGAGAAGATTTGTTATTTTACTTTTTTCTGATAATCCGACCTTTTTTGCGTTCCGACCATACCCCCAGTCCCAAAGGTGACGGATTAGAGGGGTTCTACTGTATATAGTAAGTCTCTAACTCACACAGATTCATAAATATGCAATATACTTTAATTTATGACTAACAATATCATCTATTAAGTACCACTTTGAATGTAAATAACAGACAACAAAACCATTAATTTTTCCAATATTAACTTTTTTATAAGCAGAAGCTGTTTAGTAATAAAACTAAACAGCTTCTGCTTACAAAAAAAGAATAAGAGTAAGATNTATCAGTGGACACTTTGATGAATAAAAGTTTGGAAAAGGAAGTGGAACATTGGGATAAGGTTTTAAGAAGATTGATTGCATTGACGATGATGATGGCACAACAAAATATCTCATTTAGAGATTCATCAGAGAAAGTTTATGAAGAAAATAACAGGAATTTTTAGCTGAATTTGATCCATTTATGGAAAAACATTTAATGAGAGCTAAAGAAAAACTGAATTCTGTTCACTATTTAGGAAAAACCATTCAAAATGAAATTTTGGAACTGATCAGACAAAGCATCAAAAGTAAAATTTTGATAAAAGTGCAAGATTTCTAATTATTATATATTAGCTAAAAATAGAAAAAAGGAAACTTTCTGGATGGGAATACAAACAAAAGCAACAGTGAAAAGAGGAGCAAATGAAGAAAAATCAAACATCGTTAGAAAATTATTTATTTAAAGCTAATTGTCGAGAAATGACCAATGAAAATCAAATAGATGTTGTTAAAAACAATGAATTGGAATCTGAATTTTCAACTGAAATGATTGATTTTATTGCATCGGCATCTGAAAGTGTTGTCCAATTGAATGATTCAATCTCTCTTGTTGAAATTAGTCCAACAAACCTGCAACTAAATTACTTGCACCAGAAAATTGTTTTGATGATATCGTTGATTGGCCAGAAACTTATGACCAAAGTTTTATTCAACAAATTGTCATAAAGGGACTCATCAGTTTCAATAATAATTTGAAAAAATATCCTAAAAACTCTGAAAATTTGTGTTTTTCTAATCACTATTTTCACCAAATCATGGAAAATGGTAAAGGCATTCAAATATTGTGGTTGGTTTATCCAAAAAATGGCTGATAAAGCCTTTTGTTATTGATGTAAAATATTTGGTTCGATTACAATCATGTTGGCTAGAAATGATATCAATGACTGGAAACACATTTCTCAAATTTTAAAGAGACACGAGCAAAGTGTTGAACATTTTGATAGCTTTAGAAAGTGAACGGAACTGAAAAATTGATTGCAAAAAGAAATATTAATGGACACTTTGATAAATAAAAATTTGCAAAAGGAAATGGAACATTGGGATAGGGTTTTAAGAAGATTGATTGCATCGATGATGATGATGGCACAACAAAATATCCCATTTAGAGGTTCATCAGATAAAGTTCACAAAAAAAATAACAGAAATTTTTTGAAAATTTTGGAATTTTTAGTTGAATTTGATCCAGTTACGGAAAAACATTTAATGAGAGCTAAAGAAAAAAACAAAATCTCTTCACTATTTACGAAAAACCATTTAAAATGAAATTTTGGAACTGATTGGACCAAGCATCAAAAGTAAAATTTTGAAAAAAATGCAGGATTCTAATTATTATGCATTTGTACAACAGACACAAGCCATCAGGAACAAATGTCAGTTAGTTCGATATATTGAAGTGGATCCCAATAATAATAATAATAATCAATGAAAGTTTTCTTGGATTTCATTTAATCGAAGGTTCAACAGGAATTGAATTGACAAATGCCATCATTGATTCACTGGAACAATATAATTTATCAATAGAGAATATCAGGGATCAAAGTTATGACAATGGTGCCAACATGAAAGGTATTTGAAATGGTGTTCAGACCCACATTTTGAAAAGAAAAAAAAAAAACCATGAGCAATGTACATTCCATGTCACAATCACACTTCGAATTTAATGGTGGTTTATTCAGTGCAAGTTCACCTCAAATTGCACTATTTTTCAACATTATTGAACAAGTTTTCAAATTTTTTTCAGTTTCTACAAAAAGATGGAGCATCTTACAATCTAAGTGTCCATCATTTACAGTCAAATCATTAAGTGATACATGCTGGGAAAATCATATTAATGCTGTCAAGACTCTAAGATTTGAATTTTCTAAAATTTATGAAGAATTACAAGATGTTGCAAAAGAATCTAATGATGCAATCATAAAAATTACAGTCAAATCCATCGCATCAAAAATCACAAATTTTGATTTTTTATGTTCAATTATAATTCGGTACAATGTCTTTTTTGAAGTCAATATATCAGTAAACAACTTCAATTCCTTTTAACTAAATACAATAGAGCATCGATTATCCGACTCAATTGGGGACTCAGGTTGGTCGGATAACTGAAAAAATCGGATAACCGAAAAGAAGGAAAAAGATACATTATTAGTAGAGTATATTAGGATATTAGTATATCCCATGTAATTAGTTTATTAGTATATCGCTATTAACCAACTTCGCGTTGAATTTTCATTGATGTTTAGCCGAACAAATTTTTTTTTTAAATAATAATCGTCGCTATCATATCGTTAAAAATTATTTTAAAATTGTTTTATTGCTCATGAAACGAACCACCACTCATAATTAAAAAATTAATTCTCATTTAAATACTGCCCTCCCTTCAATGGTTAAGCCGTTGATGCCAGCTAGAACACGCAAAAATTTAACAAAAATAATATTAAAGTAGCCAAGACGTAGCCAAATATTGTAATGCCACATCACTAGCGGACATTTGAAATTTTCCAACTAGAATGGTCGGTTAACCAATGTGATGGTTAATCGGGGGTCGGATAATTGATGCTCTACTGTATTTCAAAAAGCTTAGAACTTCTAGAACAAACAATTAATTTTTTGAAGGAAAACTATAACCAAAACAGATTTGATTCAATTGTTAAAGAAGCAAAAAAATCTTGCTGGTATTTTAAATGTGGAAAATGAGTTCGATTTTCTCACAAACTTTGGGATGACAATGGAAAAGAAAAAGATTTTTTGATGATGAGGAAAACATCAAAGAAAATTTAAGCCAGATACAGAAGTACAAAAAAGAAGTTTTTGATAAAACATTTAGTTGTGCACTTACTTCTTTGGAAGAATGATTTAAAACATTTCAAATTTTTGTTCAACATAAAAGATATTTCTTTTATGGCAGATGAAGATTTCTTGAGAGAATTTGGGAAAAAAATTAACAAATGAAAATAAACAAGACATTTCTGGAGAAGAATTAAAAATAGAACCAAAATCCCTGGCATTCTGGCTCAATGAAGATATGGATCCAGAGAAATGTTTTAATTTTATTTACAAAAACAATTTGAATGAAATTTACATAAATGTATCTATCACATTAAGAATCATGTTAACATTGCTCATTACATTGCTGCTACAGAACAAAGCTTTTTGAAGCTTAAAATAATGAAAAACTATTTAAATCAAGAAAGACTTAACAACTTGGCAATGATTTCGATTGAAAGTGCCATTGCTAATAATTTAAACATTGAAGATTTGCAATTGAAATTTGCAACAGTGAAAACTCGAAAAGTTACATTTTTAATATAATTATTTCCTGGTTTTTTGTACCAAATTTGAATTAAAAATTACCTTAATAAAATTAATTATAAATATATACTCTTATAAATTGTAGCTGAATTTTCAAAAAAGGTGGAAACATAAAAGTTTCACGCACTCTCAAAATTTGTAGAGCCGGCAATGTGTGCAGCATTTGAAAAATATTAAAGACATAGGCAGATTTAAAATCAAACAATTCCTACCTTAATGATACAAAGTAATATCTGAAAGAATCTGTTCAAGAAACAGTCAATACTTTGTATTGACCATTTCTTGAACAAACTAATTTGCAAATCTCACTCTGGATTCAATAATATCCATTCTATTTGTATCAACTGGAATTTGTGTGCATTCCTTCACAGTATACAACATTCCATTTAAGTATCTTTCTATGGTTCTGAGTTAACCCAAGTTTAGCTGGTTATCATTGAAGTGAGCATGCATTTACTTGCATTAAAATCAGACAAAAATTACTCTCCAAGATATGTTGATGTCAAGCACACACGTCTGTATCAATCTTCAGCTCTCTAGCACCATCAGGTGTATTCTTCACAATGCATCCTTCTTTCACAAAACATCTAACGATGTTATAAGCAGTTTGCTGTTTTACCTTCAGTGCTTTTTAGGAAACCTTCTTTTGCATACAAAAAAGGCAGTGATGATGACTGCATTGTCATCACACACATTTCTTACCACAATCTTAAATTTATGTTAATTGTCCATAAACATCTATATACCAATCTAAATAATTCTATTTGCATATTAAACATAATTCTTGTTACGTCAATGTCATATCTTTGTGTCCATATAAAATCAACTGGAGTTGAAGTCTGATTGTTATTTTCATTTTGGGGTCTTTCTTTTTAAGGATGGAAACTCCCAAGAAACCCCAAAATATGCTAAATTTAAAAATAAAGACCAAAATATACTAATTTACATAAGTGACTGATCCTGTGACATGTGGATATGTAAATAGAGTAGTGTGGAGTTACACCAATAAGCAGATAAAAGATGGCACACCCATTAAAAGGTGTGGTGTAGTTCCCAACAGTGACCTTCATTAAATCAAATTGTCTGGCATTCTTCGTATTGTCAGCTTGTAAGAAGTGTATTTTTTGTTTATTAATTTGGTGGAGATTTAATTAATTATAAAAAAATTTCTTTCATTGATTGATTGTTTATTTTGTATATAATCGATCTTGACTTGATTTTTTTAAATATTTGAAATATATAAGCAAAAATACATAAAAATATTTATTAGATTGAACAGTATTGTATGTACAAGCAACAATGATTGTGACAAGAAGTTAGTAATAAGTATATAAGTGTTATTTTAGATTATTGTATTTTGCTTTCCCATTGGTTACAATGGTTCAGGCCTGGTACTTGATTAGAACCCTAAATTGTCTAACCCTGCCTTTTTGTGTTGCACAGTATGTTACAATTTCTCAAAATGTATCTGAGAACATATCTTACTGTAAATTGTTAATCACATTGTTTATTTTGGAAGTGTTATGCTCTTAATGAATATGCTTTGAATGTTTGGATGGATTTACTTAATTAATGAAAAAAATACATTGTCCTTACATATTATTTGTGTTCTAAATTCAAAACTTCTTTGTCCATATTGTAGGACCGATTCATTTTCTTAGAAAAAAATTTGTTTATATTACTTGCAAATGATTATTGCAATAAGAATATCACTTTGTTTCATTATGATAAAGGAAATTGCTTGATTTGAGATCTACGTACATCTTTGATGTTTTCAAAATGCTACATGAAATGAGTCATACCAGAATATAAGTACAGTATACTACCAATTATCTGGGCTAATGATGGAGAGAAAATTGAAAAACATGAATAATTCAATACTTATTTCTTAGAAGGAAATGAAGCCTAGAGACTATCAGAAATTTCTACAAGCTTTAGTTCATATTTTCCCATCTAGACAGCATCATTTCATTTACACAAAATATTTTATTTAAACAAAAAAAAATTTTGTGGGGTTGGTGCCACTTTCTTTGGCCAATTTTGTGCAAAAAAAAAAAATTGGGGAAGGCTGATGCATGGATAATCCACATATGAATAATCAGAAATACACTGTACATTTGTTTACTTTAAATTATTAATGTTTTTTCAAATTTGTTTAACTGCAATAATGTGTTAAACATTATCCCATTTTTATATAAAGAAATCTTGTTAGGGTTTATATTCAATTTTTATTTAAATATCATTACTATAGTTTATTTATGTTAATTGGTATTTTTTCAACAGAAAATCTAATCATTACATTTATAGGTTCAATTAAAAAGCAAAAATGAAATTCATGAAAAATAAACTTATTCAGAAGAGTAAGGAATTCTTCACACAATCAATTATTATTAACAAGCATTGACAATAATTTCAATATGTAAAACATAAATTTTCTGGCATTTATAAATTGAAATAAATGTATTTCTTAAGCATTTATTGATTTAAATAAACATCAAGTCTTAAAAATAGATCTACTGATATTAAATTGTATCTAGATTTATTTTATTCTAGTCAAGTTGTTAACAATTTTAGTGTGTTTCTTTAAAAACTCTTTTATTAAAAGTACCTATGTACAGCCATTATCTTTTCAACATTTCTTGTAGACGTATTTAAAAATTAATTATAATTTATTTAAATAATATTTACCTATAGCAATCGGATCATCAGCTAATCCTGGTGTAGCTGCAATAATGTTTTCCATTACTTCGGGTTTACTAAGTTGTTGGATCTGAAACAAAATAAATGATATATTTTATTAAATTTATCTATTATATTGGATGAATTTCAAGGTAGATAGTTTAGACAGGCATACAAAAAAATAAACTACACGAGCACCATTATCATATTACTAATAATTAAAATAACAACAAATCTAAATGGCAACATAATGCAAGAAATTACATTATTGAATAAAGATATTTACTTTCATTTAAAAAAAAATACTACTTTCTATTTACATGTTACAAACTGCATGAACTTTTTGACCAACCAAAACAATTATGCCATTGACTGTCAAAGAAATTTAGAAACTTGCACGTAATAATACAAAAAAAATCTGACATGGCCCAGTGTAAAGTTTTAACATTTTCTTATCTGAAATAAGTAAACAAACTCCAACTTTTTGCACTCAGGTTCAAGTATCTTTGCATGACCCCAATTTTTATCATTATAATTTTTACCAGAGCTGTGAAATCAACAGATCAAGCTCTCAACTCCAGCTGTGACTCATAGAATTTTAGATGATCTGACTCCAACTCCTGCCTTTAAATAATAATTTTAAATATACTATGATTATATTAACACAGAATGGCATTTCATCACTACCAAATGAATCACCAGTATACTTTTTAAACATTTTAAAAGTAAATCATCAGGTATACCTATTGAAACTGAGAACACTTATTTTTTTCAGAGTTTTTCATTACAACCACTATCTCTTCAAACCTCATACTGACACACAAAATGTTGCAGTAAAGTATTAAATTATGTAAATTTGAAATTTTGTCTTTCCACAAATCAAACAAAATCTTGCATTATAGAAGGCTCCTATAGACTCCTCTAGTAACGAATTTGCTTTTGGCTCCAATTCTGACTCTACAGACCTGATTTTTACATAGAAAAATTCATTTTCTTTTTCAATATAACAAAGTTAACTTTATTGAGTGCCCCCTATATTTACAGGACCCCAGAATGATGACTTATGCACCTTTGCCAAATATGTCTCTATTGTGTAGTACAGAATAGAAACATATGACATTATCATTTAGTATCCTTTAGTGTCTAGTCTATATGTATAAAGTCTTAGTTCATTGTGTTGTAATTATAGCATTTCATACAAAATAGTGATCTAGCAAAGCAGAAAACAACAATTTTGGTGAATCATTAAAATTTTACATGCACTCAAGATTTCTTGAGTGCATGTAAAATTTCAGAGTAAGATCAGAAAGAATCAAAAAATATTCAGAGTAAGATCAGAAAGAATCAAAAGAATTATCTTTTTCTTGCACTATAATTACATGAGAACATACTGCAGCAAGGAAATAATCGATGCTTAAAAATCTGAAATTACAGGTTATTCTAGCCCCTCCTTATATCACTAGATTTCCCAAAATTAAAGGTGATGCTGAAAAGTTGCTTTTCAATAGATGTCTGCTTTATAGAAATGGAATGAGAGGGAAAAAAGGAGTCTTTGTACATAGAATGCAAAAATAGTTTAAATTTTTGAAAAAATGTAATCAGTTCTAAATAGTTGTTATGTTGATCAATCAACTCTCAAATTAAAAAATTGTTCAATAAATATTGTGTTTTAAATAAAAAGAAAATGAAATGTAGAAGATCAAATTGGTTTCTTGACAATAAAAAAATGAAATGTTTATTATATTCTGTTATAAATATCTGAATGAAATTAAGTTTTTAAAGAAACAAAGCTTTTTACCATTGTTCGAAATGCCGGATTCATCAATGCCGTTCTCAACGCAATAACTAATTGCTGAATTTCCTCTTGACTCAGTCCTATACAGAAGAAAAATTTTATAAAATATTTTACAATTTCGAACAAGTTAAAATTCAATTTCTATATCAAAATTTAGTACAACAAAATTAATATTATAGTGTATCTGTATTGAGTAAATAGCTCAGATACTGTACTTGTAAAATAATTACATAATAAATATTTTAAATGTTTATTATGTAATTATTCTTCTGTCATAATTACTTTAATTGTTATATAATATTTATTTTAAATCTAGAGGAATTTAAAAGCTTTAAATTTTAAAACCTGACGATGCTACTTATACAGTAAACTTTATGCCTGGCAATATAATTCTTTTATACATAAGAGAAATGAGATTACTGTTGCCAAGTCCTTAAATTCTCCCCCATTATACCAACCACCAAATTAAGTCAACATCCCCAAAAATGTTCACATTCAAATTTAAAGTAACTTATTATACAGAACTAAACACAAGTTTAAAGTAAACACATACAGTAGAACCCCTCTAGTCCGCCCTCGGCTAGTCCGTCACTCCGGTTAATCCGACCGTGGTCGGAGTCGAGAAACTTGTCCCGACTCGTCGGTGACTCACCGTCCGTGGCGTTTTTCTGTGTTCGTTACAGTATATGTTTTACATTGTGTGTTCATGTACAGTTTTGTGTGTGTTTTCAACATGTCAGGAGTGAAACGTAAACATGTTACTCTTCCATTAAATGAAAAATTAGCAGTGCTACAAAGACTAGACAAAGGAGAAGATTTGTTATTTTACTTTTTTCTGATAATCCGACCTTTTTTGCGTTCCGACCATACCCCCAGTCCCAAAGGTGACGGATTAGAGGGGTTCTACTGTATATAGTAAGTCTCTAACTCACACAGATTCATAAATATGCAATATACTTTAATTTATGACTAACAATATCATCTATTAAGTACCACTTTGAATGTAAATAACAGACAACAAAACCATTAATTTTTCCAATATTAACTTTTTTATAAGCAGAAGCTGTTTAGTAATAAAACTAAACAGCTTCTGCTTACAAAAAAAGAATAAGAGTAAGATGCTTAAGGAAGAGCGGCAGTTCAATAGAAAAATGCTTTGAATCAATGGAACTCATGCAACATAATCCCTAAAAGAAGCTGGTTTTTCTACATGTCCCCTCAATCACTGGAATCATTGGAAAAAGTATACTACAGCTCAAGTAATTAATTATATTGAAAAATATTAAACATATTTCTTTATATTCATGTTTTGACCCATCCAAGAACATTTTGAATACATCTTGTATATAAATTTTTATTTTAAAAAATAACATATAACAACAGAATTTCTTAATTATTATTTTAACTTTCATTCTGTCACATATCAGTTTTTATTTTAAATAATTTCTGGATGAAATTTGTTATGGTCTATTAATGTTAATGATTGGCTTGCAGAGGTTATATATAACTTCTTTCAATGCCAATTGCTCTTTGTAAAAGGTAAAATTTTTAACAGAAATCTTCAAATTCTTTTAAAATATCAATTTTTCAAAGAAAATATTTCCTCAAAAAATTGATGAAACTTTATGGGTTAATTCCACAGAAATAACCGCCGTTTTTTTGCTCGGACCGCATTTAATCAGAGACAAAAGCTTATCTTCATATTCTTTATTTACTTATTTACTGTGCATTTCGGGTGCAATATTTTTGTGTAACTTGCACCCCTCTTCAGGTTTTACATTTCTATAAATTGGTAAATTCAATTATTATATTTGTTATTACAGTAAATTACAACAATTTTGGATATATTTACACAATAGTTAACTAATCTGTTTTATATTTAGACATACATCTGCCCAGTGTTGATGTTGTGTCCCCTAAGGCATTTTTAGACTGTTTTCCCCTCTTTTTGTTTTCTTTCCCTTTAGCTCCTCCCATTTCCTCCCACACGTTGTCAACCTCCATTCCATCATTTAGGTTTATGGTTTTGTTTTTATTAACATTTGCGAAGTGTTCTTTGAATTTTCGTAGATAACTGTCTTTTTCTCTATGGATTATTTTTATACTTTATTCATTGATTGTGCACCCAAATTCCCTACAGTGATTTGTCCATGGTGATTGGTTATAATTAAGTCTAATTGCTGCTTTATGTTCTTTTATTCTGGTACTGAGTTGCCTTCCTGTTTCGCCAATGTATATCGCTGGTTTCTTACATGTACATTTTATTTCATATATTACACCTGTTTGGTTTAGTATTTCGTTATCTTTAAACTTATTGGTGCTGATGTTGTTTTTAATCTTATTTTTTAATTTGGCTGCTAGCATAACACCATGCTCACTGAAAACTTTTCTGTATTTTTCAAATGTTCCCTTAATATAGGGGGACGACGTATATGTAGTGTTCTCATTCTTATTTTTAACATTGAATCTGTTTTTTTATAAATGCATTTATCCACTTTTTTAGTAATCTCTTGGATAGTCGTTCAAGATGAAGGATGATTAACTCATTTTTTTGTTTTTCTCTTTCTTCTGCCTTAGATGTTCTGTTCCAAATCTTTGATAGTGCTGTTATAAAAATATTTCTTTTTATTGTAATAGGACTATACGACTTATAATTAAGGATTTTATCTACATTGCTGCTTTATTTGTATGGTTTTATATTGAGAGTTTTTTCATGGTTTGAGTTATATCTAGATAATTAATTTCATTTTTATTTTCTGTTTCACTTTCAAACTTAAGGGTATTACTTAGCGTGTTTGCATAGTTGTATATTATATTTCCGCTAGTTATTTCTTTGTCGTATATTATTATGATATCGTCCACATATCTAGCCATAAATATTATTCCATTTAGGTTTGCCAATTTTTTTATCTACTTCTTTCATGCATATTTCTGCCAGTTTTGGTCCGATTATTGTTCCCATACTAATACCATTTTTTTGTCTATATATTTTTTCATCTATATGGAAATAATTATTTTTAAAACTGTATTTTATTAACTCTAGTAGCCAGCTATGTATTTCTAGGTCGTGTAGGCTTTTTTCAACTAATTCCCATTTTATTAATGGGTACATAGTAATTATGTCTAAACTTAGTAGCCAGTATGTTGGTTTTATTTTAACTCTCATCAGTTTTCTTATTAATTTGTCGGTGTTTTTTATTGAGTAATCTGAATATGGTACTATTTTAAGTTTTTTCTTTACGAATAGTTCTAAATTAGATAATATTGTGTTTTTAAAGTCTACTAACGGTCTGCATATATCCCCTGTTTTGTATGTTTTTAGCCGTATTTTAAGTTGTGGTTTTCTGATATTGTTATAGTTGAGTATTTGTTTTTTCTCAGCTGGTGTTACCTTTTTTTTGTTTATATAATTTTGTGATCTCTTTCTTCATCCATTTTTTTTATTTACTCTTTTGGTTCTTCTGTTAGTTCAACAAAATCATTCATTAACACTATTTCAAATTTTTTCTTCTTTTCCCATTCTTTATCAACTATGATGATTTGATTAGTTTTATCAGCTTTGATTATGTTTAGGTTATTTTCCTTCAACTATTTTTTTAGTATTGTACATTTTTTTGAATACAGTAATACCTTGACTTACGCTACCCCGACTTTCAAATCTTGTCGATTCGTTTTTTGTTTGAGCGCCAAGCAACTCTCGATTACTCACTCCCCCCCCCACACTTTTGTTCAGCTTACATGTTTGGACATGTTGTGCAGAATCAACACATAGCTACAATTTATTTTGTGTTATTTATTTCTGTGTTTGTTATATCTACAGAGCCTTCAGAGACTCTATGTGGTGATTTCTTGTAACCGTGAATGAATCAAAAGAAGAGATAAGATTAACAAAAACATTTATTAGCTTACATACATCCGACTTCGATTTTACACGAATCGCGAAATTATACCCTGACTTACGCGAATTCGACTTACGCAGTTATCACTCGGTCCCACCTATCGCATAAGTTCAGGGTATCACTGTACTCTTTTCTGCCCCTATCTCTTAATTTTATCTTCCCTATTTCATTGCTGCTTTTTAGTTTCTTTATGTCTTCTTTTATTTGATGTTTTAAATTACACCTATTCACTATTTTTATCTGATTTACCGCTTTGTCAATTTCGGATATTATATTAATTGCTCTATCGTTTAATGGCATATTGTAAGATGGTAAAGTAAGTTAATAGTTAATAAGACAAATAAAACTATACCAAGAAATATAACTAACATACTAAAACTAGGTTTAGAATACAATATAAAAAAACAGTGATAAACATTGGCAGAACAGGAAGGCAACTGGGTACCAGAATAAAAGAACATAAAGCAGCAATTAGACTTAATTATAACCAGTCACCATGGACAAATCACTGTAGGGAATTTGGATGCACAATCAACAAAAAAAGTATAAAAATAATTCATAGAGAAAAAGACAGTTATCTACGAAAATTCAAAGAGCACTTCGCAATTGTTAATAAAAACAAACAAAACCATATACCTAAATGATGGAATGGAGGTTGACAACGTGTGGGAGGAAATGGGAGGAGCTAAAGGGAAAGAAAACAAAAAGAGGGGACAAAACATCAACACTGGGCAGATGTATGTCTAAACATAAAACAGGTTAGTTAACTATTGTGTAAATATACCCAAAATTGTTGTAATTTACCGTAATAACAAATGTAATAATCAAATTTACCAATTTATAGAAATGTAAAACTTGAAGAGGGGCGCAAGTTACATAAAAATATTGCACCCGAAATGCATAGTAAATAAGTAAATAAAGAGTACGAAGATAAGCTTTTGTCTCTGATTAAATGCGGTCCGAGCAAAAAATTGGCAGTTATTTCTGTGGAATTAACCCATAAAGTTTCATCAATTTTTTGAGGAAATATTTTCTTTGAAAAATTGACCTTTTAAAAGAATATAAAGAAAACTGCACCATTGATATAATACATATCTATTACTTACAGTAGAAATCTTCAAGTATTCGAGGAATCTGATACCATTAACATATTTTGTGGCTACAATATAATCTTTTCCCTTATTATATCCATAAAAATTAAAGTTTTGAGCATTTCATATCGTCAGCCAATGGTAAGATTAAAAATATAGTTAATTATACATTTTGAATTGTATTAGTAACTTATTTTAACTACTACAATTGCTCTTATAATTAAAAATTTAAAATTCTCTATCCTTATCATTGTTTTAACACATCTTTAAAACAGAAATAGATAATTCCTAGAATGTACTAATACAAGTTATATAATTTATACCGCTACTGTAAATATTTTTAGAACTCTTTGTTTACCAAATTTAAAGTGGAAGAAATTTTAACATTTTTTCTCATTCATTTAGTACGAAAGACACTTAACTTTTATATATTAAATTCAACACTACAGGCCAACAGAACAGAAAGTAGAAAACACAATCAGAGTATAAACAATAAACAAAATATTAATATAAACTACTTGATCTACCAGTAAATTACTTAATTACATTACAACACTTATAAAAATCTTTTGTCTTCACACTTAAAATTTTAAATTTTTGTGACAATACTCTCGATTTTGGTAGCATCCTACTTCCATACGTCATACTTTTTCCATTAACAACGTAACCACGCCAGCCGTCTAACGAAATAACATAACTTCGGTGGGAACCGGAAGTTCGTACATAACTAATCGGAGCCTCCCACCTCTATTTGGTCTCAACTTTCATCTATCTAACTCCGTTCTCTAGATTAAGGAGGGTTAGACAGACAGACAGACAACATCGGTGGGAGTTTACGGGTCTACAATTTTTGAAAATTACAACCTGATAATAAACGGCAGCAACGGCAAGCTATAGACTTTTATGGTCACTAAAGACTCTACGAGATCGACCAAAGAAGTGTTTTGCAACTCAATCGGGGTTTGCCTAACTAAAAAGCCATTAGTATGCCCTCACCTTTTCAATTTCGTCAACTCGAACTCATCCGACTATTCTAACAGAAACTGGGCGACCATCGACGGACTAGCAAAATGCAACGAACCGGGACGACAGACATTTTGTACAAGTTTACGCGGGTCTCCGGACCAAATATTCGGTCAGCAAGGCAAAAACACACTTTAAGAAGTTGAGAGACTCCCCCCCAAAAAAAGAGAGAAAAACTGAAACAATACTGACACGGGAATGGACTAACCAAAACCGCTTTGAAGGCAAAAGTGTCCAGGTCAATGCATATCATTTTAAAAGGGTAAGACGTAAATTCCAAAGGAAGAATTTTTCACCCTCCCAGAATTGTAGACCCCTACCTTTAAGTGTTTAAAATTCGAAAAAAATACAGAAACAGATACTGGACTCCCCGTCAAACCTTATTATTACGTAATTTGATATAACGGCGGATGTTTTTTTTTAATCAGACCTGAAGACTTGGGTGCCGGTTCCGAGTGTTGTTTGGGCAGAACGTGAATGGTCATTCCGTGTTTGATACCGTAAGATTCTAACGTGTCTTCGGGTTTCAGACATTTTCCCAGACAAACCAACTCTGAAAGAAAGTAAAGGTCGTTTATATTTAGTAACCAGCATTCGGTGTTATTGACCCGGCGCCGTTTAATTACCTAAATCGTCTAACGGGAGATTTAATTTCTGGCTGATTTCCTTCTTTACCGTTTCCACTTGTCCTTCTAAATTAACGCCCGATAGTTTATGCCGTTCGGCGATCTGTTTCGTTTGGTCGATTCGTACCGATACGTAGATCGTCGCCATTTTTCTTCTCTTCCATTCCAAACGTAAACAAACGTCCGCCGGTGCCCTCTGCCGACAAAATTACTCGAAAAAAGAATAATAATAAATTATTAAGAATTTAATCGTTTTTTAAATTTTCGTCTTCAATTATATACCGATTAAATTAAAATTCGATTTCAATAAAAATATAAAATGTTTTTTTTAATTCCGGGATAAAACACGATTATTCCAAATAAATCAAAATCCATATTCGTCGGGAATGGGCGGCCAATTATTATTTTTTGCCATGTTCGAGGGGAAATTTTTTCTTTAACTTGTAGCATTTCCGAAGAAGTAATTATTCGCGCAATGTATGGAAAATATGCATTCAAAATTGTCAACTCTTCGAGGAAAAACCCGTCCAAGGTGAAAATTCGAATTATACCGGAGACGACGACAGAGAACTGTTGTAAAATAATGTTCTCTGGCTCGGCAGAAGAAGATTTATGTAAAGTAAGAAAACTATGTATTAATTAATGATATAAAAGATTTCTCTTGGCGAAAGAAGAGATATTTGTCCGTAATTGGGTGATAAAAAATGGTTATTATATTTCATCTTCAGCACGAAACTAAGCAATTTAAATGTAAAATTGCAAAAAAAGGGAAAAATTTAATCCCTGTGTTAACTTTCGTAAGAACTTTACGTCAATACTTACTTATAATTGAAGAAAAATATAAACGACTGTGAATTTAGACGTTTCTTATACTTGTTGAAATTTTTCGATGAAAACCCCGACACTGTTCGTTGCAATTTAAGAGTTTATAAATGAAATAATAGTAGTTGAGATTGAAAATAAAAGATTTAATAATTCGTAGAAATTTTAAATCAGATTGCTCAATTACTCGATGCGAAACAAGTTGACGTAGAACTTGAAATAGTCCACATTGACATTTGAAATCGGCCGCCAGTGGCCGAGTGGATAAAACCACCGAACGTCGGTAGTTGGTCACGGGTTCCTGTTTGGCCAAATGCTGGCCACGTGGAGTTTTCCGGATAAAGGCAAGTTTTTCATAAAAGATCTTATATTATTTCTTGAAGGTTTTATTATTTCTGTATCATTAAAAATAATTTGACATTTATTAGTGTTGCGCCACTCTCAATTTATCTGATTTTTTGTAATTAACGCGATGCAGGGAATGTTGTTGAATGTGTACCCCATCGTTTAGGTTTAAAATTTGAAGACGATGCGCAGTATGTTCAATGGTTGACCGCAACTGTTTCCCCATGATGCTTCGCACATGTAACGCAATACTGTCCTTTAAGTCTACCAATGTTGCAACATTACCACGATAAACCATTTTCCTAAAATGGCGCCACAGCCAGAAATCACACGGATTCGTATCCGGAGAACGTGGTGGCCAAGCGACCGGAAATCGATGACTAATCACCCGGTCATCAGCTGGCGCAAAAATCTCGGCTGTATTCCACGTGGCTATGATATCAGGTTTTTTTGTTTGCGGCGCCATTTATTCTGTAGAAGACACTTTTAAAACTTAAATTTTTTTGTCGAATTGCTTTCCACATCCTTTGAATAGCGTATTTGCAAATTTTGGTGTCGATCGGCTTATTGGTAGGCTCTACGGAGTCCTGTAAATGAGACAACTTTATCATTATTCTGTATAATTTTTAAGAGCAGATGGCCAAAAGTAGCTCACTTATCGAAAGAAAGTTAAACGCCGCTGGTTTATGGCATAAGAATAAATACACAATATTGTGGGTAGCCTGAGGTAGGACGAAATCGTACCTCTTTTTGATAGGCAACAGTTTGGTGAGAACTGCCCACTGGTCAGTGGATGGCTTGTTTATGGGTTTTTCCTATCCCGGAAAGTCGGGATTCTTTTGTCAGGTCGAGTGGAAGAGGTGAGAGGGGTCGTCGGTAAGACGTTGGTTATACTCGAATTAAAGATACAAATTAACAACAAAACAAGGATTTATTTAGACGATAACATAACTAACATATATACATTGAGCTTATCTCGAGCGAACACGCGGAAGTGGAGGGAAACGCACCGAGAGAGAGTTTACATTAATGGGTATCATACCTCTACGATGAGGGGATCGGAGCGTCGGACGTTTTCTAACCGGATCGGACAAGTTGTCTCGAGGATCGGCACGGGTTTTCGGCGATCACGAACGGTGATGACGAACCGTGTTCACGGATGGCGACGACGGACCCCTTTTTCTCGTCGTCGCCCCTCTTTTATACATTTTGTCACGTTACTGGGTTTCGCCAATCGCCGATTTTTAGGATAAGTTCCTCATGAATCATTTTTCGGGTTCCTGAGAGATAGGAAACGGCTCCGTGGGAAGGAAATGTGTATATCCCTTTTCGTAAAATTAAGAAAAATGAAGTTTTTCTTTGTTTAACTTTAATGAAGATATTTAATTTAATTTGAGCTTCTTTATTTAATTTTATTTTATTCGGTCCGACCCTCACAATATTTTCTGAATAATACAAACTAAAAATTTTTAATTATTGCGTATGCTGCTGTTTGTGACGTCCTACTTTTCTCACGACTCATCAGAGTATAACGTTTGCCAAATTCCTAAATATCATCTTCCAAACTTGTTCAAATGGAAAATTTTCATTATAGTTCTATAAGATAGAGATAGGCAGAGTGGCAACTAGGAAGCGAGTTGCGCTTCCACTAAAAGGATACGGATTCGAAATGCGCTAGCGATTATGGAGGATCCTGTTCTTTTATCTTCAGATACATTGTGTGCCGCTCGTGAGAAAAGGTTGTGAAGTTTCCTTTAGAAGTGCTTTAAGAATTTAAATTTAAAACTTATGTGAGAATATTAAATATAAATTTTTCTCGCTCTAATTATTACGCAACTGCAAATAGGATTATTATAATATAATACGACATAGTGCGATTGCTCATTACATATTTTGATAATTTATAAACTTATAAGTAATTTATTGTAGTAGAATTAAAAAAAATCTTCATAAATCTGAAAATATATGTTTTTTAATTCAAGGAATAAATGTTATTTTCAATATACACGGACCAATACCGGAAGAAACCAAATTAATGCAAGTCGGAAATGTAATCGCGAATATTTAATTTGTATGCTAAGCGATATCCGACTGCGCCTCTTTATTTAGGTCTTGGGTATCCAAGCAGCCAATGACCTTAACTATTTCCTTCCGTTCTATTAATTTAAATCACGAAATTTTTAATAAAAGATTTTAATTAATATATAATTCTTTTCATTATTAAAAAAACAAACAATAGTTAATTAAAACGTATCTTTAAATTTACGTATAATAATCTCGAATTAAACAAAAAAAAAAAATACAAGCGAGTATAATGTGACGTCACCAGATAGAATTTTAATGACCAGCAGAGGGAACTGATAAGCTGGCGATCAATAATAATCGTCTGGTAGTAGTTTCAAAGGTTTTTCCAGATTAAAGATAGCAACGAGATAAGTATAATTCTGTTATTATTTATAAATTAATTATAATAACGCCGCGAAAATTATTTATTAGATTTATTAGAATAAATTAATCGGATTTAAATAAATAATTTTAAAAATTTAATTTTATGTAAATTGGCAACAATGCTTCTTACGTAAAAAAATTAAATGCCTTATATTTTAAAACATTTAATTTTCTACGTAGGAAGCATTGTTGCCAATTTAATTAATAAAATTAAATTTTAAAAATTATTTATTTAAATCCGATTAATTTATTTTTCATTATAATTTAAATTAAAAAAAAATAATAAAAAAAATAAAATGTTAAATGTGTTACAGAGCGACCTAGTTTGTTAAGTGTAGAGAATATTGCATTAAAAAAAGTGAAAGTTAATTGGGGTGCGTCTGTATGTCGGACCTGTTTTCTCCATTATAATATTATCTAGGCTGTAATTAAAGGTAAGTAAGGCTTCGTGCGTATTATATCTGTTTAATCTAAAGCACATTTCTGGAGAGAAAGCGATTTTATATGAAAATATATTATAAAAATGCATTCACTTTCGAGAAGGGTGAGTTATTTGCATAAAACCTCGTTTTAACGCAGTTTTTATTAACGATAAGGCATAATATACGATTCCTTATCGGCGTGACCTCAAGTTTCGGTATCTTATAACACGAATTATCTCTCCAATAAGATCTAATGACGACATTTTGATAAAAGCAACGAGATTTTCACATCGGAATCCACCTAAAATTATCGTTTAGGTCCGTAGAAAATGTCCAAAATCGGAAAATTGTCATTATGGCCGGCCGTGGTCCCGCTGCTGCTCGTCATAATCGGAAACATGACAAAATTAGACTTCAATCCAAATATTAAAAGGTAAATCTAAATCTTTTTAGTTTTTATAGAGGTAAAAAGAATAAATATTTCTAGTATTAATTACTGTTTATCTTATTCTCTAGTGTCTCTCTGCCGAATTTTGAAGGTGCTCTTTCTTATAATCGAGATTTAAGCGGTGCCCAGAGATTGTTCGAAGGAGAAGCACTCGGACCAGAATCTCTAGCAGTATTAAATGGTTATTTTTATAATTTTGTGTGAATATTTATATTGTTTTTAACCCATTTAAAATGCTTGCATTTCCTTGTCTAAAGGTACCATTTACAGCGGTTTAGAAAATGGAAATATTGTGAAATTCACTAAAGAAGGAAAAATGGAAATCGTGACTAGAATAGGAAAAGATTGCGGTAAATGAATTTTATTTAAATAATTTAGACGAAAATCTGTTATTTCCTAACACTTATATTTATTTATCTAATGAACTGTACGATTGAAGTTCAATTTAATATCTTGACAGATAAACAGTAGTATGAAATCTCGTCATAATAAAAATACAGTCAACCCCCTTTTCGATCCGTAATGGAAAGATGTGGGTGGCGGATTTATATAAAAAGGCACGCAAATAAGGATGACGGGATAATTATATCCATTACTTTTCCTTCATTTATATTACATTTGGTGTTTTACGCTTAAAAAGTTCCCGTCCAAAGTAGTTTGAACTACGTTATTTCCTCGAGTCTTGGAGATAAATATATCGGATCATTTACTGTCCTGGATGTCATTTCGTGCCACGATTTATAAATTAGCAACAGTGCATACTCCGGGAATATTTCAATAGGGATTTCATCATTGATGCATTCCATAATTTTCCTTATTTGGTGGCGTTTGCAGTTAATTTAAAACTTTCTATTTGCTGGCGTGAAGTGGTTGCCGAAGTCCCGTGCAATTTGCTAGAAAGAATTGTATTTCCACATTACACGGATTGACTGTCTTAGGATAGCGGGGGATTACGGTTTTCTCTCTTCGTATCCCTATTAAAATTTTCAATAAATTCTTGCAAAAGTAGGGATGTCATCCATCCTTTTTTATCGTACTTGTAATGGCAATAAATAGAAGGATCGAAATTTGTAAAACAACAAGACTTTGCGAATCTTTTAGTAACGGTATTTTCCAGTTTTTATTTCTCTAATGGCTTTATTCTGCATTCACCCATTTGCTTTTTTGGTTTAAAATATCTCCTATCGTCCGTCTATTTACATTTTAAAATTGCTGGAAACTCCCGTTCCCACAGTATTTTACCTCAATTTTTGTGACAATAAAAAAATTATGGCAGTTTATCCGAAATATTTTGTATGGAAAATGATTTTTTTTAGTATAAACCGCCATCCGCGATTTAAAACATCGATTTAATATGGAACAAATCGTTTTTCCCAGACTTTTGGCTGAAAACCCGGAGTGGAGGTTTAACCGGGGGTTGACTGTATTTAACACTTTATGAATTTTTGACAGAGGGAGGTTGGCAGAGCCACGTTTGTGGACGTCCTCTGGGCTTACGTTTCGATAAAAATGGCAATTTGTATGCGGTAGATGCCGTATTTGGCATCCACAGAATCGACGTGAAAACAGGTGAAGTTGAATCGTCCTATTGAAAATCGCAATAAACGCAACGAATACAAGCTCTGGTTTACTTTTAAATAGGATTGGTGACCCCTCTACTGCCTACGTATCGAAATATAGAAGGAAGACCGATGGTATTTCCAGATGATTTAACTATGGACGAAGAAGGTAACATATACATAACAGATGCCAGTGCAAAATGGGAAGTGGATGAAGTTCTATACATAGCAGCAGAATTTGATAAGAGTGGAAGGTGACTATAATATACTTAATCTACATAATAAATTCAAATATAGCTTCAAAATATAAATTTATAAAAAAAAACTCACCGGCTTAATTTCAGGATCAAACAAGATTTTGTAATTTTTAAATTGTTTAGTTTTGACCCGGACACAAACATGTGCTATTTTAGTATTTGTTTTCTGCCACTAATATATTCTAAAATTAACTTATTTTCATTTTAGAGTTATTAAATTCAATCCGAAAACCAACGAAGCCGAAGTCATCATGAGAAACATTGGCTTTCCCAATGGCATTCAGATATCCAAAAGAGGAGATTTCATTCTAGTCTCCGAAATTGTCGAAAGAAGAATATTAAGGTCAGTTGTAAGTTCTACTTGCTGAATATTAACAGTTCGGTAATCATCACGAATTTCAGGTATTATCTTAAGGGTGCCAAGAAAGGAACTACGGACGTATTCGTGGATAATCTTCCCGGAGAACCAGATAACATTAGACCAAGTAGCAGAGGAGGATACTGGGTGGCCATAGCGTCTGCTCGAAATTCGACTCATCCTCTTATAGTCGATAGATTTTTGGAATATCCCTTAATCTTAAAGTACATGGTCAAGACGCTGTTTGCCGTAGGTTCATTTTTGCAGCGGGTGGCTGATTATTTGCCTTTCGCTTCGTTCAGACGTTTCGCCTTTTTGGTAAGTTTCTCAATACTCCATTGCTCTTCTTTACAAATAAATCATTCGATAGAACCATCGCTAAAAGTTTAACTCAAAAAAGCAGTATGAATAAAATCACAAAAAGTATATTAAAACTAGAAGAAACCTGATGCAAGTATAGTCTGAGCGTGCGTCATCAGAAATGAGTTTTTATTCATAAATAGAAAAAAATGGCATTGTGTGTGTCTAAAGTGATATACATAAGAGTCTAAAGCTTGCTGCGCATACACTTCTATTGTATGTTTACAAACTATCACACCTCTGAGATGAATCCTTATCTTAAGTAAATGCTCTAAAAATTGATTTCTCAATATAAACGCTGTTGACTCTTGGATTGAAACAATTCGACTGAGAGGGAATGGTGCATTTATAATCGTGTCTTCAAGATTTCTCACTTGACTAAATGCAACCTCTCAGTAGCATCATCTTACTCCAACTGATAAATAAATTACAGGTTTTAAACCTTGTCTTCTGTTAAAAAAGCGCGACCGAATTGTTATGTTGGCATTATAATAATAGGAATTAAACTGCAAAATAAGTGAAAATAAACTTACTATATTTTTACTTGAAATAATTTTCCGAAGTATGGATAAAAAGTTTTTTGTATTTTTCCTCTAATATTTCTCTCTCTCTCTCACCTTGAAAATCTGACGTTTGACCTCGGTAAATTTTCTTTACCGTGTTCGACTAATTAATTACCTTAACATGGCAAACTGCCCAAAAATTATTATATTTACTTTCCCGGCTGATATAACAGAGGAAATGTAAAAATCTTTCGGGAGGGGGTCAAAATGACCCACCTTAACGTTGAGAAATGCAAAAAAAATTCGGGTTTTTTTTTCCTGTAGTTATAGATATTAGTGTCTGGGGAGTACGATTTTGAACCTTAACTCCTGTGCTTTTTCCTGAAATTTTGCAGGGTGGTTTGTTTATTGGGGGATCGATGCTATTAAATTTTGATTAAAGGTCGTATCTCGAATAGTATCTGACTGACGATTTTACTCATTATCATTTACGTTTTTTTTTTATAAAACCCATCCCTTCCCTCAAAATTAAGCTTTTAGCCATTTTTTAATAATTAAAAACACTATCATATTTTATTTAAAAACGTTTTATAAGAGAGGGAAATTTAAACAACTCGTTATTTTTTTTATTCATTTCAAATTGAAAAAGTATACAGCACATCTACACTAACCACTGATGTATCCATACAAAACTTTCAACAAAAACTCAGGAAGGAAAACACACACAGAAATAACATTTGCATTTTTCTGTTATTCTGTCAAGTTACTCTTTGCCTGGACAATAACAAGCACCTCTTAACCTAGTGTATTTTAATTATAAGAAGAACTCATTTATCTATTTGCTATTGCTAATTTACCAAAACAATGTCAAAGGTCAGAAATAGGAGTAAGTTTTCAACAACTTTTTTCTTATAATTAATTAAAGTAGTAGTTTTTGGAATGACCTATTTTGAAAATCCAGTATCTAAACATTCTAAAACTCAATTCACCAAAATTCTAAAACTCATAAATAAAAAGTTTATTTCTACTTTTCACAAGGAAAACTAGATTTACAACATGATTGTTATATAAATTTGGCACGCATTAAGCGCATTTATGTTCGTAGAAGGAAAATTGTTCGAATTTTTTTATAACTTCCTAATGGATAGATTTGGAAGCCTGATTCAATTAAGGTCTAATGAACATGATGTTTTTAATTTAAGAATATTTAACAGCCATTACTACTAATCCAACAGATCATAGTACACTTCCTTATTTTGTAGATAATCAAGCTAGAAAATTCAAAACTGAATTAGATATCTATAACTATATTTACTTAAAAATCTAATCATTTTCAAAGAAAATCGAAAATTTCATTTTGTGAAATGCTTGTTGGTTTGAGCATACGTTTGAATCATTTTTTTGTGTGTTTCATGGCTCCCTTTTTCAAAAATTTCAGTGTGTGTAATATTGCTAGATCATTCAATAATTCAACATTGTTATGAGACCTTGACAATTTTTTCTGTAAACTGTGGTTGGCAATAATTTCCTGACACTAATTAATTTTATTACTAGATTGCTATTACTCTGACCATTTTATTTTGAAGGTTAATAAATATTTCTCTTTAAAAGTAAATTGTTGCCAAAAATATTTTTTATTTTAACTATACTCTTACAGTGTCCATTACTTGCATGTTATATTTATGGAAATATCTGTAAAGAAATCTGACAAGAAAGACTAATGCAATAAAAAATATTTTTGTGTTGAATTTGTACAAAACTATGAATAAAAAAAAAAGTCAATTATGTTTTTTCAATCAATTAAAGTTGAATATCAGATTACTTATACATTCACTTTAAATGAATAGACTGTTGAATAAGGAAAGTTTATATTTTAAAAATTTATTTATTTATTTTTATCCAGATTAGATCGGGACGATTCGGAGAAGATCTCTTCCACATGCCCGGCATGGTCTTAGAGCTAGATTCCGAGGGAAAGATCTTAAGAAATTTCTTTTCTCCGGACGAGAAAATTAAATTCCCGTCGGAAGTATTGGAATATAACAAACATCTGTACATTGGTTCGTTTGTCAACCATTATCTAGGAAGGTTAAAGTTATCATAACTAGACGTAGAATGGTACATGCCTTTATAATCAAATAAGTAATTTCTACTATTGATAAATAATAAAATTGTTACATAAATCTTAGTTTAGGTAAAGTAATCATATTTGAAAAACTAAATACTTGCAGATTTTATAGATTTAGATTCTAGTTACTGTATATATGATTTGAATTCATTATTTGTAGCATTATACTTTGTATATATTGTGATGTGAAATTTATGTAATTACTTTACAACTCTTCTCAACAAAATTTTATAATTTTAAGGTATAATCTTATATTCTTATACTTTTTAGAAAATTTACATAGTAATTGATGATAAATTGCAATTTAACTGATCTATTATTATGATGGAAATATTTACCATTATTTACAGCATAAATTAAAAACATTTGATGAAACGTGCCAATATCTATTGTTCGATTTTATATGGTTCACTAAAAAAACAGGTGTTGCGACTAAATTATATGCAGAGAAAGAGAATCTTTTCAGTTCAAAATTATTGCAGAATACATTACTTTGATGAAGATGCACTATCCCAGTAGCGTCTTTTTCTAAGACAGAAAAGATAATTGTGGGAAAATAAAATTCAATGTAGTAATGCTCATTTGAGAATACTAAATTCATTGTTGACCAAAACAAAAAAAAATATTTTTATCAATAAAAAAACTGAAAAATATAAATGTTAGTTTCCTGTATTTTTCTGTGTAGTATATATGCCACAAAAAAAAAATTGGTCGAATAACTTTTAGATCAAACATTGTTTAACATGACAACAAATAGTGGCCATTTTGTATACAGTAATACCCGGAGTTACGCGATTTTCAAATCTCGTTGATTCGTCTTTTTGTTTGAGCACCATGCAACCCTTGATTACTCACTCCTCCCAGACTATTGTTCAGCTTACATGTTCAGATGTGTCGCGCGGAATCCACACATAGATATAAATAACACAAAATAAATTGTAGCTGTGTTTGTTATATCTACGGAGACTCGAGAGACTCTACTATGTCATCCAAACGAAGTAGAACTGATTCTTTGCATCAAACAAGAAAAGAAAAACTTTATCTTTGGAATGTAAAGTTTAACATTGGGTATGTTCATAAAGTCGAACGAGTTAAGTGAGAATGAAGTCATCGTTATTCCTATTTCGTTACTAACGCGTTTAACTCGTTATTATCAAAGACTTTGATACAAAAATGAAAATTTGTGAATTGGCACCAGAATTATTGGTCAGAACAATTATAAAAGGCAAAGAAAAAATTCTCGAAGCTGTGAAAAATGCTCAATCTTTAAATTCAAGCATCATTCATAAACATCACAGTATTATTGCTAAGATGGAAACAATGTTAAAATTATGGTGTAATAATCAAGTAAATGTGAAAAATTGTAAAATAATATAGGCCTAATTTGTTATACATATGTATTAGCTAAGATTTTATTAAACATTTTTTTTCTAAATTATTTTCTTTAGTCTCCGGCCCCAATTAAAAATTATTTGTATGTATTTATATGCGAAATTATACCCTGACTTACGCAGTTACTGCTCGGTCCCACCTATTGCTTAAAGGCAAAATACAGTAATACCCCGAACTTAAGTTACAAAAGACAAGGTGTAACTTATTATTACAACTATAACAGATAACTTTGAACTCAAGAATGCAATTGACATTGTACATTGTAATTATATCAGAAAAAGTTTTGGACATGCTGTTGCCAATCCAAATTCAAGTAAGAAGACACACACAGACAAGAGATGAGAAATAAAACCTCAATCCAAACTACTTAATCTTTAAAGACTTTATTTCTCAATATACATTTACCAAAAAAAAAATTTTAATATTTTGTATTATAATACAAAATTAAATAGTTAAACTTAGAATAAATTAATTAATATAAAATTTCTTACAAAGAATAAATTGTTATCAAGCTTTAAAATCTGCTTATGTTTTTTAATTTGCTGCATAAAATACCAAAGTACAACAACTGCATCATCCTATCCAACAGCAAGTGCAAGAAATGCAATTCCTGAGTAATTTATAGTATTTACTATTATAAAATTCAACAATAAATTTACTTTGTTTTGTATATTTCCAATCTCTATGCAGTTTTTAACATTTTCTTCATTTAATAAAGAATAAATTCACATATATATTAAACATGTCTACATATTCTCAGTAAAATTCAAAATGCAATGATAAATGTACATTATAAAGTTTTGAATTACAATATTACAGTGCTAGCTTTTATAGTCAATCTGTTAGTTGACACAATTTATTCAATTTTTATTCATTAAAATTTGATAATCAAGATCTTTAAAATTCTTCTTTACAATTGTGTATGACCAAAACCAAACACATTAATTAGGATTAAAATGTTACAAAAATTATAACATTAGACTAGAACACAATGAATATGTGTGATAAGTTACTATATAAACTAATGATATCATTCATATAAAAATAAAATTTATAATTTAAATTAACCAGTTTTTAAAATATTAAACTTTACAACCAAAGAATGGAAGACATTTATCTATAAAACAAGATGTCCATTTAAAAGACTATTTAACCATGTTAATCATTAATACTGAATTGGTTCAATTGGACAATTCATCTGTTTGAATAATTTCCAAAAAGTGAAATATGAATTCCTGTATAAATTTGTTCTAAACATTCCAATCTTGGAAAGGTATGCTGGAAAATCATTTCAGACAAATTAATTTTTAATTGAATCATTTCAGTCTTTAAATACAGCCAAACCTCTTTAACTGCAAAATCCTTTTTCCTCTTATGAATTGAAAGTAAAGGGCAGTGACCTTGCTAGTAAATGTGATAATTTGAACAATTGTGTATTTAAAAATTTGATCAGGTTATGACTCAAACAATACAGTCACTCTCCAACTTATTTTACAAAAAACTAGCATCAATTTACATATGTTTCCATATATTTTTTAAATTTGCATTTTGTAGAAATTAAATGGAGGACCCAATTAAAATGAAAAAACTACAAAGATGACATAACTCCTTAAGCCACGTGTCTTAGTAAATTCTTTTTTAAGGTAAGGCTATCTAGACACACAGTCACATACATTATATGATTTTTAGTGTTTGGATGTCCTAACCTTTGTTATTAAATCAAACATTCATTTAAAATAGAAATGAACTACATGAGAAACAGATTTTGCAACTTTCTTGTATGAATAATTTAAATACATTTATTCAATTTTTTTGTTTATATCACATTCACTGCATATATATTAATACCTTGGTTTTTGTTGACTTTGGTTATTTTGTCTCGATTTTCGACGGCATGCCCACATGTAATTTTGCAAAAACAAAGGGTGACCCATGTGTTTCCCCCCTCTCCCCCTTCGTTGTCTTCCATACGCCAAGAAGAATCTTCAGAAAAGTAAATGCCATGTTTTTTTATATTTAATAGTAAAAACAATAAGAAATTAACACTATATTTATTCTCTGTAAAATGTGTTTTGGAGCATCTAGAACGAATTAATTGGATTTACGTTGATTCATATGGAAAAATTTCTTGGTTTTCATCTATTTCAAATTTCATCGATTTTCAGACAATTATCTACGAAAACTAAGGTACTACTAAGTTTTGCATAAGTATATGCAGTAAAATGTGATTTAAATACATTTATTCAATTTTACTCTTTAATGCATATATGTACTGCAGAACTTTACAGATCAAACAGTAAAATTGAAAGAATTATCCAGATATTTAACATTATCATTTGTGGGTCATCAGTAACCAGGCAGGTGTAATAGGTACACAGGCACAAGGCTTCTAAAATAAGATATCAAAAATTGATCAGTATTATATTCTTATTTTCAATGTTGGTTAAAGTAACCACCATTTCTATTGTAATTTTTCTAAAAAAAATAGCACCAAAAATAAAATTTTGCTCAAGGCATTGGTGGTCATAACAAAGGACTCTCAAACAACAATAACATTCACATACATGTTAAATAATTTTCTATTAACAAATTGTACCCAATATTTTGAACTTAGATGTTTTTATTGAAGAAAGGAGCAAAAAATAAACTTTTAATATATATTTTTGCATATGTACTGTACACACTTATGCAACCAGTTATGTAATATGAGACCTTATGAAATTCGTCTGAAATAAGATGTGGTCTTCTGATTACAAAAGACTTCCCATATCTGTTCAAGGAAAACATAACAAATACAAAGAATATGCTTTCTAAGCATGCTCAGAATGTTCTGGAATTGTCAGGAATTTTTCAAATTTTATAGAATGGTCTTAAGTGTGAAATAGACCTAAAAATCTGAACTCAGTATTATTACTTAATCATTAAAGGAAACACTATTATTTTTTTCTTGTGAGCTGGAGAATATTTTCATCTCAAATTAATTATTCAGATAGCATTTAGCCACAATTTTTTGCAAAACAGTAACAAATATATTGTTTATAATATTACAATTTATAATGTTAAAACTATATATTTTGTTTCAATTTTTCAGGCTTTCAAAATTTGAACCAAAAAGTTTCCAAAGTTTTTTCACTGTTAATGAATAAACAATATAAACTTTCTTATCATCAGAAGATTATAGTTATAAATAAATTTTGGATTCAAAGGCATTTTTCATTAAAAAGAACAGTCAAAAGATGGTTTGACAGTATTTAAACACTTACAGTTTACATAAAAATATAAAAATTCAGTTATATTTACATACATTTAAATTACTTTAATCTTGTGCACATAACTCAGAACTGTGTATTCCTTACAGAAAATTGCTAAAACAGAAATAAAACCTCTACATAATCCATCTCACTGTAAGTTATATACCATGCCTCCAGAACAACTATTAAAAGCAGGGTGCTTACTGGTATGCATTTTAGAAAATACCATCTCAAATATTAAAACGTTTTACACCTACAATAAAATGTAATAGAAAATCATAAAAAAGCTGAAATGAAAAAATTGAGTACTCTGACAGATGAAATTAGAGGATTCTTTCTAAAATACAAATATCTACCAAACTACAAAATTGTTTCATATTTCCCTATTTTTTGATTTATTTACTAAGTAATATTAAATGTTAAAATAAACTTAATTGTTCTTAAATAGAAAATAATTTAAACATACGTAATACCCAATGACATGGTTTTAGAGTCAATTGCACGGCTCTAGTTTGCTTTGGAGAATTCCAGCTTAGTTCCAATACGAATTCACTAGTGAAAGTGAAAAATAATTGATTTTTGCATAGTAAATTTGATGCCTGCCAATGAAGTATTTTGCCATTTGTCATTTTGTAAAACAAGAACAGTAATCATCATTAAAACAAGATAATTTGCTGCTATCAACTGCTGTCTTTATGCATTCCTTCATTTATTTATTGTAAGAAAAATTTCAAAATTAATTATAATAATTTAAGAATGCTATTAGAAAGTATATTTTTCATAGATAAGAAAGAGAAATTTAAGCGTGTTACCTCAAGAAATTCATTGTGCCAATTAGCTGAAAATGTTAACAGATTTTTCACTAGCAGAAATGTTTAAGAATAATTACAATTGTCAGAACAGAAAAAGAAGAACAAAACAAAAATGAATAAATCACTCTTAAAATTAAGATAAAAAAGATTAAATATAAAATAAATATAACAAAGTATTAAAATTATCTAATAATAATA